GTTTGCGTCTGCGTCTACAGCTGCCCCAGAGAACATGGGGTCAGGCAATTATCAAGTAAAATGGCATTGTGTAGTGGGGAGTGTGCGCGCTGACAGAGATGGAGTGAAAACCAGTTGCTTTGCCTTGCCTCTGTGATATTAATAGTTCCCATTGAAGAAAAGACTAGCGCCGCTGGGGCTAACAATCCGAGCCTGGTGTTAAATGAGATCCTGTTTAGAATAATTATAAGAGCGTTCAGTGTTTGGGGTAAACCATCAAAGCTGTGATGAGTCGTGATGCAAACTCGGATTATATTTTGTGCAGGGTTTGAAATCTAAAATAATAAACATCAGTGATTCAATAGTGAAAGTGATCTCGTCCTTTTGCCATTTTACACTACCAATCAAAAGTTTGGACAGTTTTTCATCTTTGTTTCTTCTTTATTTCCATTTTTATCTACCATAGACTTTAAATAAATGTCGTCTCCTCATCACAAACATACCTGGAGTTGCGTTTTGTTTCATTCACACATGTTAAACACACAAATCTTGAGTCTTGAGTTCTTCTCTCAAATAAAAACACCCATTTGGCAATTCAGGAAGTGCTCCACTGTGTTTTTAAACTCCATACATCCCTGCATTTGCCTCTAGTCACAGTTGGATTGAAAGATGCACACACAAAACCCACTTTGTTTACTCTACAAAATGTAAAAAGGAGCTGTTAATCTGAAAACTATCATTGCAGGACATCACAAGGTGGAGCAGAGCATTTTGGAGAATTAGATAGATTAATAATAAATGATTACTCAAACTGTGTGAAATGAAACAAAAATGTGTGAATGAAACAAAACACAGCTCTAGGTATGTTTTTGATGAGACAACAACATTATAACATGGCTTAAAGCTCACAAGAATCCATTTTGATGAATACAGGACCTTCAAAAAATGCATACAAACAAATACGGCTACACTTTTTGAAGGCTCAAACTGGACACTCTGGCTGGAATACTAGCACTTACAGACTGCACCACTGTAACTGTTTATTATCAGAGAAACTGCATATTATCATTTTGTAATTGTGGGCCTTGAGTACAAATCATCTTGCTGAGCTGGTATTATGACCAATTAGAATCACACACTTTGACAGAACTTTACAAAGACGAGTGGATCTGGAGCTGTATCCCGTCTCCCTGATTTCTGAGGGTGTGACTAACAGGCTGATTAACCAATCAAAGAGAGACATGCTCAGTTAGAGTCAAAACAAAACATGAGAAACAGAGTTTATTTTAACACAATCAGCAATTGAAGCACCAAACTATTTTTCATGACTTTACAGCAACCTACATGTGTAGAATTGAAAATACTTTTAGGGCTAAATATGAAATGTTAACCCTTTGCGCTCACCTTTATGGTATTATAGTTTTAAACATTCTAATTACTCTCAATTTATGTGCATTTATTGTCGTCTCTTTTAAAGGGACAGTCCGGAATTTTGGACACAGGACCTCATTTTCTAGTGAGCCAGAGTGTTGGAGACGTGTGGAGACACTTTTTTAAATATTCCATCCAGTCCTTGTATTTGCAGAGGTCACTGGTGCTAGGCTAGTGCATGTCAATGGCCATAGTTAGCCTGCTACTAAAAACAGTCTTACCCACTCAACAAAACACCCAAAGCAAAACTATTATTACACCAGACTGTCGATATAAATGTCTGTGTTGATAGAATAATTTTAGAAGTAAAACCAACCTTGCATTTGAAGGCAGCAGCGAGTTGTACTTCCTAATAGAAAACCTGGCTGATATATGAGAAAACAGTCTCTCAACATGCTACAATTCATGTGACACAAGATTAGTTTTATTTCAAACATTATTCTATCAACAGACATTTACATGGACAGTCTGGTGTAATAATAGATTTGCTTCGGGTGTTTTGTGCAGTGGGTAAGACTGTTTTTAATGGCAGGCTAACTATGGCCATTGACATGCACTAGCCTCGCACCAGCGACCTCTGCAAATACAAAGACTGGATAGAATATTTTCAAAAAATGTCTCCACACGTCTCCAACACTCTGGCTCACGAGGAAATGAGGTCCTATGTCCAAAATTCCGGACTGTCCCTTTAAACAAAAAGTGCATACTTTTGGATGATAATAGCCTAATGAGAACTTAACAGGACGCTGTAGTTACATGTAAGAGATACTAAAGTTCTCACTTTCAATTTCTATGACTTTTCCAGGATTTCCATGACCATAAGAACCCTGGCATTTGAGTAACACATGCTACAAATTAGTGGTGGTGGCTGGATCATCTAAAAATTGGACAGATGTTTTTCACACTCGACGGTCTGGTTCAGAAGAGACTGGCCTCGTGTTCTCTATATGAAAAAAAAAGCGTATTACAGATTTTGTGAAGGGCCCCCTCCCTGCATTGGGCCCTGGGTAAACAGTCCCATTTAACCCCCCCCCGAGTCTGACGCCCGTTTATTCCAGGAGATCCCCTCATTAAAGTTCCCATCCAGGTGACTCAAGAAGACAGCCCCAGAGAGATAGACAGATCAAACCCAATTACTACAGCAGTTTGGGCAATGCCAGTCCGGACCTGAGCAGCAGATAATGTGTAATCTATTTAAGCTAACCAAGCCTACACACGGTCTACGGGAGTCCACGTCACGCACTGATTTAGGCACCGTAATGCATCTAATAAATGATGTTTGGACCATGAATTCAATTTGAGGTAGAGAGGAGAGGTACATGGGTTATCACAAAATTAGAAGAACGCGGGAAAAGTGTTCCGGTTAAATGTTGTGAATTGGGAATATATTTTCATTTGGGAAATTTTGACAGTTAAGGTTTAGCAGGTTCAGAATTTGTTTTTGTTTTTTTTTTGTTTTTTGTTTTCCCAAGGTATTTATTACTGGTTTTAAATTTGAAAAAAAAAAGATAAAGAATACTGAATACTATACTAACAGAGCCATGTGTTCTTAACTCTTGTGCACAACTTTAAATAATCACATCTGTGTTCCTTTGTGACAAAATGTACACCTGAAAAGAATACCACTTTTTTTTTTTCTTTTGCAGTACAGATTTTTGTCCAACTTTCTTATATCAATGTCTTCATTTACTTCTGCCCAAATCATACATACCCCCCCCAAAATATATATATATAATATTTTGACATTTTAACCCCTTAAATGCCATTTTTGACAGCAAAAAATGAAAAAAAAAAAAAAAAAGATTTTTTTCTATATCTTTCAAGGAATTTTTATTTGTTTGTGTTGGGATTATAAGAGACTGGAGGCTCCTCTAGAACAAAACCAGATAATTTTAACCTCAAATATCTACGGCTCTGGACTTCAGTGTCGACTAATATGTACAAATGTCTTTCTGTTGATATAACCTTGTAATGAAAGACACACAGTAAAAATATTTTAAAAAATCAAGACGACACTAAAACTAAACATTTTGAAGGGGTTTCAACAACAAAGAATGAAGAATACATCAAAAAGTCAAAATATACTGGAAAAGTTATGCCAATAAAAAAAACATTTTGAATTGAAGACAAAAAGGCCCGCGGGTGTGATTATTTTGATTATAGACCTCTTTACTTAATGTGGTCTTGAGAAAAAAACACAGAAATTAAAATACACCACAAAATACACAAACTGTCCAATTTTGGTGCTATTTGGTGTAATACAGCCAAAGTTATGCAAAAAATAAAAGTTGAGATGTACAAAAAGGTACCTTGAGGTGCAACAAAACCGGTAAAATGCAAACAGCTTTTTTTGTTTTTGTTTTTGTGACTTGACTTTGGATTAATAAAACCTACACACAATACAACTCCATGTATGTTTGTGATGAGAGAACAACAACCTAAAAGTGGTTAAAAGCTTGGACTGTGAATTCACTTTGAGATAAAGAGGAGAGATATACGGACTATCACAAAATTAGAAGAACACAGAAAAAATGTTCAGGTTAAATGGCATGAATTAAGAATATTTTGTTCATTTGGTTTAAATTTAGTGGGTTAAGATTTTTTTAAAAGAGTTTTTCTAATTTGAAAAAAAAAAAATACAGTATATTAACCAAATAAAAATAGTCAAAACTACCGAAGCACTGAGCCAATAGTGGTGTCGGATACTGAAAAAAAAAATGCTGACTTTGTAACTATACAAAGTTGTTCTGTAGTTACATGAGCGATAATTAACAGCTACAACAAATTTCAATTGATTTTGTTTTATGCTGACCTTGTTTTGTGAAAATAAATATATACAATATATACTGTTTGTGAGGGTTTCATCCTGCTCCTCCTACCCCTCCTTTCCCTGCTCCCTCTTCCCTTCTCTCCTTACCTTGTTTGGCATTTCCTGGGCGGGTTCACAATTACACACCTGCTGAGCTCCACTCCTGATCCTCATCAAGCAATCATCACCTGCCATAAAAGACCTGCTGACCTGCTATCCAGTGCCAGATTGTTCCATCAGTCTGTGGTGAACTACTCAGGCTTTTTTTGTATGTTTTTTGAGAATTCTGAAGATTTTTTTTGGTACTTACCAGTTTCTTTTCGTCCTATCCCCACCACTTCCTTTTGGAGCCAGCCTCATCCCATTGCCACCTGTTCCGTAAGCCTCTGGTCAGCCTCCATCTCCTCGTACCTCCCATTTGCAGCCAACCTGCACCCGTCCTGCCTCCCCTAGAACCTATCCCCCCTCCAAGATTATTTTTGTTAATAAAATACCTTTTTCTTTCTGCATATTTGGGTCCGACCAGTAATTCCTCACACTATTTTCAATCTCTGCACTGGTATCGTTTGATTGTGATTGTATTCACAGATACTTAATGCTACAGTATCGAACTGAAAAAAACACTGATCGGTGCCTCCTAAGTCAAAACTGCTCAAATTAAGTAACTTAATTCAAGTAATTTAACTCATAGAAATGTTGCAAAATGCATTATTATTGTATTTTGTCGGTTTTTAGTAATTTTTTTTTTTTTTTGTATTTGGAAACACAAAGCCCATACAACTTTAGAGGATATATTTTAATAAAGAAATTATAATAAAAAGAGTACAACCTAAAAGTACAGTTTTAGGCAATATTATACACTCTTTACTTTATGGATTATTATTATTATTAAATAGTGTTCCTGTCAAACAATATGAAAATAAATCAACACAAACGGGTACATTTGTAAAACATAAAATCATATCCACGTGCAAATTTAAATGATCTGTTCCCCAAATTAATTGAATGGAATGAACTTTTAACACTTTGAAATATGTTATCTTTTTGGTGACGGTTAAAGGTGCATTGTGTAACTTTTCTGGTGGAGGGTTCATCAAACGCTTTTCTCCATGGACATGTTATTGCTTCTTCTAGAATGTTTCACAGTATGGTAATATATATGTATATGATATTACATATCTATCTTCTACCAAATTACAGGTCAGTTCTGTGGAGAGGCGACCCCACTCACAGTCAGAATGCTTGTTTTTCTGGGTATTTTTGAGTTATAAAACCATCTGTAATTGAATAAATGTAAGGTAGAGCTGTTTAATGTCACACTGTGGAACATTCCAGACAGTTAAACAGTTCCAACTAATATTTATTACAATACAGGTGGTTTTACAGCTCAAAAACACCTAGAAGAAACATGCATACTGACTGTGAGTGAGATCGCTTATCCACAGATCTGACCTGTAAATAAAGGTTTGTTCTCCATGAAGATAAAAAGATTTAATGCCATACAGTGAAACATTCCAGACAAAACAATAACATCTCCACAGTGAAAAGCATTCAACAGACCCTCCACCAGAAATGTTACACAACGCAGCTTAAATTAAATAAACTAAAATTTGTGTTTGAAATGTTGACATCCCAGAAGATGGCAAAAAGCAGCATTTAATTGTCTTTTATGAATAAGTGTAACCCATGCATAGACTACTATATGATAACTCAGTCCGCACTCATCACTATGTTAAGATATTACAAAAGCTGAACATTGTATATGGCAGAAGAACCCGCATCATACTGAAAACTGACCACCATGCATATTACTAATATTTGGCCGTTTCTGGATTTCTTTTGTCATATTTACCCCCATTACATCAAGACTAAAAAGGCCTAAAACAGCAACCGGATTTACTATTGCTATAAGTCTTGACACCACTAATACAAGGTTCCTACTGAAGGCAGAAGTGTGTGTTGGGTAGTTAAAGTAGTTAAAGTGCCTGACAGGTTCAACTACTGATTTGTCTAAAGCACACTTAAGTTCATTATATTTAAGATTTTACCTAAAAAATAATAAAGAAAATTGCCCAATTCTGCAGTTTTTTAGGTTTAAATGTTTATATCCTGGTTGGAAATGATAGAACTTTTCACTTCCTGTAATTTTCAACATATTTTTCAGCTTTTCTTTACAAATTGACAGGTTTTGATGATTTGGTGGGATAATACGTGCTGTAAATATGAACAATTTTACCCATATCAAGAAGCAATTTGTGAAGAAAAGTTGAAAAATACATTGAAAATTACAGGAAGTGGAAAGAAGTGGAGAGTTGTATTTTAGAGAGTTCAATATTGATGACACACAAGGCAGTAGATGGTGGGGACAGAGGGGTCCATTGTTCTGGGCCCCAGAGTTTTTTAGGGGCCCGGAACTGCACACTCTTCCTATGAATTTATATTATGGGGGGGCCATGTGAGGCTTCTTGCCCCGGGCCCCCAAATTTCTGTCGACGGGCCTGATGATATTACACTAGAAGTATTCCATCTAAAAGTTTGTCATAATTTACAAAAAATAAACACTTTTTTCTGATACTTTAAATATGATTTTAACAAAATGGTGTTTTCTTCTATTTTTATTTGTTAAAGAATTATTTCTGTGTACATAAAGGAGTCTTAGACCACTACGTAATATGGTTTCACGATAATGGTTATGAAATTTCCTAGTGTGATGTCACAATTTCCAGTTAGGAAGTAAAATTTTAAACCTAAAAAAATGGACAGAATAGGAAAAGAATAAGACATTTTTCAGCTAAATCTTAACCTGTCAGAGGCACTTTAAAGGGGAGGTCTGTGTGAGAGGTGAGTCTGGTTTGTATTAAAGTGGTACAGCGCATTTGTTTTGTTAAATAAGTGAATTTTAGTTAGAATGACACATAAATGGTCTTTTTGAGGGTGCACTAAGTATACAGTAATAGCAGTAAACAGTAATATTTATGTTGGGGGGGTTGTCCATATGATTGTCTTCATGGAGATGTACTGGGAATTGCTATGCCTATAATATTCCACAGTATGTCAGAATTGATGGTGTTCCCAAGGGCTATAGGATCAGCAACAACTTGGGAACCACTGGTAATGGCATAGGGGTGCACCAATACAATAAAGGTGTCAGATATTGGCACCAATATTGAACATTTTGATGGACCAGCTACCAATTCCATGATATCATTTCAGTTGGTTCAGTTTTGAATGAATCCAACAGATCTAATGTTAAAATACCGTACCGGTCAGTCCAAACCAGACTTACATTTAAAGGACACATATTATGCAAAATACTTGTGGTCACCTTAAATAAGCACTTCACATTTTCTAACTTAAAATAATGTCTGCATTTGGAAAAACAATTTTATAAACTACACCTCAGTTTCCAGTGAGGTATGTAGGTGTTGAGGCTCGCTCTGCTGTCAGCAATGCGAATGAACAATAAGAAAATAAAGATTTCAAAGAGTTCAAAGGCCACGTAAATGCTGTGCCAACAGAGCTATATACTCTTAGCGAACACGATTTAACCGTAGAATGAGTCTGGTGATGGTTTATGGACTCAAAAACTGCACAGGAGAAGTCTGGAATTTTAACTATGACGTAACAATCAGGGCAAAATGCAAACTGAGCTTTTTTTTGATAGCTCAGAGAACACTTAACTTTAGATTAATGAAACGTACATACAATTCAACTCCAGGTATGTTTTTGATGAGTAGACAACAACATAAAATTGTGCACGATGTAACTTTTTGGTTGGAGGTTCATCACCTGCTTGTTTCCATGGATATGTCACTATGCTGCCTGGAAGGTTCCACAGTATGACATTAAACAGCTCTACATTACATTTATTAAACTACAGATGGCTTTACAGCTCAAAAATACCTAGAAAAACAGGCATTCTGATTGTGAGCACGGTTGCTTCTCCACCTTGTTTGGTCTCCATGAAGATACAAAGGTAAGAAAAGCGTTTGATGGACCCTCCGCCAGAAAAGTTACACAACGCACCTTTAAAATAAAAGCTATTTTGCATAATATGTGTCCTTGAAAGTGATTGTAGCGCTCTAACACTGTTTTGATTGAACCTGGCTGTGTGGAGCAGACAATCCGTGTGGTGTTAATGGGAGTCTGAGGTGAAGGAGCTGTGTCCAGGGTCTTTGCAGTGGGAGGAGGAGGAGGAGACCTGCTCGTAGATGAAGCTGTACAGGGTGCGGTCTGGTCTGGAGGTACGACAGTTCTTACAGACGTCACTGAAGTACTGGAGCAGCAGGCTGTACACACGACCTGGGACCAGAGAGGGGACAGTAAAGAGAGGATGAGTTAACAGAAAAGAAATATAAAGGAAAGTGAAGAGTACTGTGTATTTTAGGGCTGTTCAGTTGGACCAAAATTTGTGTAGTCAAGTACTGTTTTTATTTAGATATTAAGCAAAAATAATAAGAAAAAAAAAACAGGCTCCTACAACTCCGCTCATACTCCCTACAACTGTATAACAACTCACCCTTATGTAACAGATAATACTCCCTGCAATTGTACAACAACTTACCCTTATGTGATATAATACTCTCTATAACTGTACAACAACTCACCCTTATGTAACAGATAATACTCCCTACAACTATAATGCTTCCTACACCTGTACAATAACTGAGCCTAATGTAACAGATAATACTCCCTACAACTGTACAACAACTCACACTTATGCAACAGATAATACTCCCTGCAACTGTACAACAACTTACCCTTATGTGATATAATACTCTCTACAACTGTACAACAACTCACCCTTATGTAACAGATAATACTCCCTACAACTATAATGCTTCCTACACCTGTACAATAACTGAGCCTAATGTAACAGATAATACTCCCTACAACTGTACAACAACTCACCCTTATGTAACAGATAATACTCCCTGCAACTGTACAACAACTTACCCTTATGTGATATAATACTCTCTATAACTGTACAACAACTCACCCTTATGTAACAGATAATACTCCCTACAACTATAATGCTTCCAACACCTGTACAATAACTGAGCCTAATGTAACAGATAATACTCCCTACAACTGTACAACAACTCACGCTTATGCAACAGATAATACTCCCTACAACTGTATAACGACATATATGAGGATTTTTAGTCCTTATTTTTCTATTTTATTTTAACTTGTACATTTACATTTATATAATTATACCTTTTATATCTTTTTTGCTACTTATTTAGAATTTATTATGACCAATTTTTATTTTTTACTCTGTTATTATATTATATTGTGATGTGTGAGCTTCTGTGTCCAAGTCATTTTCCTTGTGGATCAATAAAGTTTGTCTAAGTCTAAGTTATATGGAGCAATAGCAGAAAAGGAAAATGTATTGGTATTTAAATGTAAAAAAGATTAAACTCATGATTCACATGCCTTTATAAAAATACAGTTTTTCCTAGCTATTTTTTCTGAATAAAGTTTTTGCATGAATACTGAATACTGCCCTGGTGTATTTCATAAGGTTTGTGCATGTAGTGGTTTAACAAAGAAATACATCTGGAAAATTGTGTTTGTGTCTTTTAAAATAGTGGAATTTACCATGCATTTTTTTGTTTATGGTAATTATTTTGTTATTAGAAGTGGAGTAATTAACATTTGGATAGATATTTGTCACATACAATGCACAGCTCAGTAATATGGTTCAAAAATGTCACATAAATCACTTAGTTGGTTGCGTAAATTCTAAAAAGTTTTATAATAGTTTCTTCAGCGAATAAAGCCCATCACAAGCTTTCCTTTCATTAACGGTATATTACTCAATCTTGCCAAAAATGTAACTTCCACCATTTTGCTTCTCATTTATTCATGTAGTCTGGAAGTTCCAATTTTGAGGGGAAAAAAAAAAAAACATGGCAAAAACAGACCAATCAGAAAGACCAAAACTGCTTACACATTTTAGCGACTTTCTAAATCACACACGCACACACACGCACACCATAAACACAAGTCGTGAGTCTTCTCTGTACCTCCACTTTAGGAAATGGATGGCTAGAGGGGAATTTCTGTGAAAGGCTTCAATAAATGTCAGTGGAAGAAAAATGAAAAAGAGAGAGGGAGGAGGGGAGGAGGAGAGTGAGAAAGAGGAAGAGGAGGAGGAGGGGGAAAGAGAGAAAGGATGGAAAGCGAAGAGGGAAGGAGGAGGCGGAGAGGGAAACGGACAGGAGGAGGGGGAGAGAGAGAGAGAAGCGGAGGAGATGGAGGGGAGAGAGAGAAGGAGAGAGAGTGAAAGAGGGAGGAGGAGGGGGAGAGAAGAGGAGAGGAGGAGAGCGAGGGAGAATAGGGGGAGGGGGATAGAAAGGGAGGAGGGAGAGAGGAGGAGAGGGAGAGAGAGAAGGAGAAGGGGATAGAGAGGGAGGAGGGAGAGAGGAGCAGAGGGAGGGAGAGAAGAAGTAGAGGGATAGAGAGAAGGAGTAGAGGGATAGAGAGGGAGGAGGGAGAAGGGAGAGGAGAGGAGGAAGGAGAAAGCGAGAAGAAAGGGGAAGACAGGAGGAGGGAGAGAGAGAGAGAGAAGAAGGGAGGAAGTGGAGGGGGAGAGAGAGAGAGAGAGTGAGAGAGGGAGAAGGAGGGGGAGAGAAGAGGAGAGGATGAGAGCGAGAGAGAAAAGGGGGAGGGGGGTAGAGAGGGAGGAGGGAGAGAAGAGGAAAGGGAGAGAGAGATGGGAGGATAGAGAGGGAGAGGAGAGGAGGAAGGAGAGAGCGAGAGGAAAGGAGAATACAGGAGGAGGGAGAGAGAGAGAGAGAGAGAAGAAGGGAGGAAGTGGAGGGAGGAGAGATAGGGGGAGGGGTAGGAGGAGGGGAAGAGGAGGAAGAGAGAGGGGGGATAGAGAGGGAGGAGGGAGAGAAGAGGAGAGGTGGAGAGGGAGAGAGAGAAGGGGGAGGGAATAGAGAGGAAGGAGGGAAAGGAGAGGAGAGGAGGAAGGGAAGAGTGAGAGGAAAGGAGAAGACAGGAGGAGGAAGAGAGAGGGAGAAGGGAGGAAGTGGAGGGGGGAGAGGTAGGGGGAGGAGGAGGGGAAGAGAGAGAGAGGGAGAAGAAGGAGAAGGGGAGACAGAGAGCGAGGAGGGAGAGGAGAGGAGGAAGGGATGATCGAGAGGAAAGGAGATGATAGGAGGAGGGGGAGAGAGAGAAGAGGTAAGGAAGGGGGAGAGAGAGAGAAGAGGAGAGGAGGAAGAAAGAGAGAGCAGAGGAGGAGGGGAAGGTCAGCTGAGGCAGTAATCCACTCTCATGTGCAGGCTAAATGAATGGGCAGAGACACAGAGATGGCCCATATAGTGGAATAACTTAACATACAGATGGACTGGGCTGTTATTTATGCAGACAGTCCTGGTAATAGAAACAATGAGGAAAAGCCTGAATGAAGTCAGTGCAAGAAGAACCAGCAACTCCCAGCTCACGTCATACAGTTTTTTATATAGAAATGAAATGTTAAAGTGCAAATGACAGGTCAGACTACTCCATTTCCTTAAAACATAGTTGATTTTACTAAAAATCTTAAATTGTCTTTTTTTTTTTTTTCTAGATTTATTTTTTATTTTTAAAGCTGCACTGTGTAACTTTTCAGTTGGGGGTCTGTCAGTCATACTGTTTCTATGAATATATCACTGCTTTGGTTCAAATGTTTCATTAAACAGCTCTACCTAACATGTATTTCAATTACAAGTAGTTTTACTGCTCAAAAACACCTAGAAAATCAAGCATTCTGACTGTGAGCGGAGTGGCCTCTCCACAGATCTGACCTGTAACTTGGCCTGCTTTGGTCTTAGAGGTGTGCAAAAATATTGAAATATCGATATATCGTATCGTTTAATGTGATGATACAGCATCGATATCGGGTGCTGCTGTATTGATCGCCAAGAGTATTTTTTGGTATATTTTACAAAATTATTTTGTGACAGAGGATGATTAAAATGTACTGTCAATTTACAAATTAAAAAAAATAAGAAATAAGAACTTCCAGTGTTTTTGTACTTTTTTCTTCTCAATGTTTTTTTTTCTGCTACAAACTGCCACATATAAAGTGCCATATAAACCTGCCATATGCACTTTAACCTTTGTTTAGAATGACCAACAGTAATTGACAGAGCAATAGCCCTGTCCCTGGGGAAATTGGTGGTTCCCTGAGAGGTCATGTCATTAAATACAACTGTTGTAATTTCTAAATTGAATCAACATGGGTAAGTCAATTTGAAGGAATGTTAGAGTGAAAAAACTTTTACTATCTTTATGTGATCACAAGGAACTGAAAACTATATGCAACTTCACCAGGCACTCCTTTCTTGCTCTAAATTCAGCGTTACTACAATATCTGTAACGCTGTGTACACATAAATAGCATAAAATCATGCTACTTTTTCCTTTTTACATGCCTTGACAAGTCTTCAGTATGACTAATTAATAACAGTTATTTTATAAGCTTAATAACAGCTATTTTATCATGTAGTCTGCATTGAAATGAAACAAAGTATCATGGTCTATGTAGTTCCCTCTTTTTAAGTGAAAAACCTTTGTGGCAGTCTACGATATTATTTTGAGAGTTCTGACGATACACTATCACAATATTTCAGTTATTGTTACCTCCTTAGTGTGTCTGTACTGAACAGGTAGCGTGTGGACTCCATCTTACCCACTGCGACGCATCTCTCTGTGAGGAACTTGTGCATTTGGTGAACATCCCTCATCAGCTGTGCGTCTCCAAATGTGAAGTACGCCACATCCCTCCCAGCCTCAGCTGCAGCCATCAACTGAATAAGAGCTGGAAATGACAAGAGCGTTAGCAATCTCCACTGCTAATTGGTCAAGGATCCTTGTGACTTTAAAACATTTGGATAATTTCAGCCCTAGAATTGCCCATCTCTACTAAACAAAAGGTAAAATATAACTGTTAACTGGAAAACTATTGCTTTGTGAGATCGCAAGGTGGAACATAGCACTGGAAAGATGGACAGCCTAATAAACCAAGATAACTCAAACATATCTAAATGAACCAAAACACAACTCTGGGTATGTTTTGAGGAGGTAACAACATTTTAACATGGCTTAAAGCTCACAAGAGTATTTTTTTTGCATAATATAGGATCTTTAAAATATCAAAACAATATAAAAAATAGTTCTCTCTGAATGTGAAGTACACTCCCAACCTTGGCTGCAGCCATCAGCTGAATAAGAGCTGGAAATGACAACAGCATTAGCAAACTCCACCGCTAATTGGTCAATAAGCCCAGTACGGCAGCGCTTTAGCCGGGAAACACAAGTGACAGGTGCAATTTGTATTTGAAGAGTGAATAATCCTCTGCTGGTCACACTGCCTCATCAACGCCACTCAATTTTTTATCCCTCACAAATTAGCTCTAAAGCCTTTAAATATTTACAACAATGGCTACTGACTTCAGATTAATGAACGTACAAAACAGAGCAGCGCTTGGAAATGGTTGTAATCTTTATAGTAACATAAGTAGAACTAAAGCATATTAGCATCTAAGTAAGTTATAGTTATGGTGCTCTAAAATAATAGCCATGCTAATACAAAGACTAATAGTGAGGTCATTGAGGAGCTAATGTTACACAGTGACAAGTAGACCATTACCGTGGAGCTAAACACTAAATTAGGGCTGGGCCATGTGGGGAAAAAAAGAATCATGATATTTTCCCTCATAAAGATCAGTCTCAATTTTTGACTCAATATTCTTCGATCTTTTTGGAAAAACAGACAGATGGATTTCAGGCATTGAGAACAGGTGTCAGGATCACTACAGTTTTTATTTCGTTTTGATAGGAACAATATTTAGGGAGAGAACCACATGTAGCGGTGACCCCTCTTCAGCACCACGCGCTCTTGATTGCCTGTAGTCCTGTCGAATAAAATGCATTTGCCATATCACTGAGATCGGAGTTTAGATCGTGATCTATTATTATTATTATCTATTTTCAAATTTTTGGCACATCTCTACACTGACTACACAACTTTTTTGACTACGAAACTGTGTATATGGTGTTTTAACAGCATTGTCTACAGTTCCTAGTCCTGCAAACTATTTAAATTTTGAGCTTTCTGGTCAAAAACAGCCATTTCAAGTACTATGTGACATCACACAGCACAGCCCCGCTTAAAGACAGGAGGTTTCTGATTACAAACACGTGACTTCAAGGGAAGTGTGAAGGATACCTGTTAGACCAATCACACTGTTCCTCAGATGTACAACTCCAGGGATGTTTTTGATGAGGTAACATTATACCATGACTTAAACATCACAAGAGTCACTTTGCATAATATAGGACCTTTAAGCAAAGCAGCTTTTATGTCACTCCAGTATTTACCCTGACCTGATATGTGGTTACTTAACAGAATTACAGTTGAGAGCAGTAAATATGACAGCAGAAGGCCCTCCTCCTGCTCAGAGTGATGTGTTAAACAGCCCATTGAGAGCTGTTGGGGCAAGAGTTATGGCATCTTTACCCCAGAATCAATTGGCCTATTAATGGAGCGCATAAACCTATGTCAGCGATCAATACAGAAGGAGAGAGAGGCTGCGTGACGGAGAGAGAAATGCTAATTGACCAGGAAGTTTAGAATAGACTAGCAACTGTCAGGGTACTGCAAGCCCGCAAATAGAACATGGTGGTTATACAGTATGTGAGGAAGAGATGGGAGAATGAAATAGTCTAGAAGATGATGGCCACATTTTTGTTTTGAAAATATGCAAAAGATCTGAAATACAAATAAATACAGAATACAAAGAAAGTAATCTTATAATGTGCAGCTTATTCACTGTTTGTGAGAAACTTAAGCCGCAACCCAGACAATTATTGCACATTTCTGATGTGCAAAAATGACTGACTGTATATATTTTTGAGAGGTGCAGATGCTTGAAGTTAAAAGGGGTGAATTTGGAGCCAAGTTCCACATTACGAATAGGTATTTATAGCCTGATTCATCCTTGCAGCATTAGGATTCATTTGCTTGATGGTAGGCGATACTTTTTTTTTTTTTTCCAAATCTCTGCTATTTGGTGGCGACGTATGTAATGCGCAAAATCCCGTAGGAAGAAGTGCAATAACGTCTTTCCCCTTAATAAAATTCAGCAAACATTCTCTTTGTTCAGTCTTTAAATCCTCGATCTCGGCAATCGTTGCCAACACAGAATGTCTGCCTTCATCTACATCCATCTTGACCGCTTTGTTTACTGTTGTGCTGTACCACAAAAGAGACCCAGACAGGCGCTTGAGCTCTTTGCTGGCCATTTCTTTGCTGGCTAGTGCGTGGTCTACAACTTCCAGGGTTCTTGCAAACTGTCTAGGGTTTTCTAACTCCTGACCTAGTCACTGTAGAGAAATGAAATTGAGTGGAGGCACTAGGCGGTGACAGCCTGGCTAAGGTATTTATGGACAGAATACTAAAATAAAAACACCAGGATCATGTAGAGCGGGTTAATATGAAGAGAGGGGTGAGAGAGAGGGGTGACCATTTTGAATGTCAACTGGAAACAAAGTAGATGGAGTCGGCAAGCGCGCCCATGTAATACTGCAACATATTTTACAAGTTTGTGCTTAATAACATGTGTCCTAATTAGATTCAGACCACATCTCTCCATTAACTTCCAGTAATACCTCATCCTATTACAGAAAAAAAGCATTCACCGGCATGTAACTGTATTTTATAATTACAGCCAAATAAAAAAGGGCTAAGTGTTATCAAACTTGCCTGTACTGTATTCCATTTCATTATTGCACTAAAACCTGAACTATTGTTACCTTTTAGTCTTGTATCTCCTCCGAAAGCTCCACAGCCCCAGTTGCCCGTAGCGATGGCGGAGAGATGCTGGCGGTTGGCGTTGTGGCGGAAGAATCCACAGTATGCCTTGAGGGAATTCAGGAAGTAAGCAGAAACACACTATGTTAATGATGTTTGCAGAAGAAAAGATTGACCCAAAAGTGACACTAAAATATTGTACTTTAATTAGTTCACCGACAATCGACCTCATGATAAATAAAGAGGGTGAAAACGGGGGTTCCCAGGAGTGACGTAACATAAAAATAATGCAGCGAATGGAAGGGAATGTCTGAATGGCAATTTAAATGACCCTACAGCCTTCTCAGTGTTAATTCTTCTGTTGTGTTTAAAGGCCCATATTACTCTATTTTCTGATCTATGTTATAATGTTGTTTCCTCATCACAAATAGACCTGGAGTTGAGTTTTATTTCATTCACAAAAGTTCAACACAAAGACCCTGATATATATTTAGGCTGAGTTCTTCTCTCAAACAGAAAACACTCTGTTCCACCTTGTGATATCATGTGGTAATACAGGAAGTGCTCCACTGTGTTTTTGAACTCCATATGTCTTCATTAGAATCATTTGGATAATTTCAGCCCTGGAATTGTCGATCTCTACTGAACAAAAGGTAAAAGGTAGCTGTTAACTTGAAAAGCTGTAAACTTGCATTGTGTAACTTTTTTGATCTGCCACCTCCTTTTCTCAGTGGAGATGTTATTGCTCTGTTTAGAATGTTTCAAATCATTCTATTTTCATGGGGACCAAAAAAGCCAAGTTACAGGTCAAATCTATGGAGTGGCAACCCTGCTCACAGTCAGTATGCCTGTTAGTCTACTCTAGGTATTTTTGAGCAATAAAACCATCTTTAATTGACTCAGTGTAAGATAGAGCTGTTTAATGTCATGGCATCACAAGGTGGAACAGAGCATTTTGAGCTTCAGAGATGCAGACAGACTAATAATAAAGGATTACTCAAACGTGTGAATGAAACAAAACACAACTCCATGTATGTTTTTGAGAAAGTATAACATGTTTTAATGCTCTTTTTGCGTAATAATGGACCTTTAAAATATCACAACACAAAACTGTTCTGATATTGTGCAATCATGATTTTAATGTTTAAAATTCCAGCCATGAGATCTGCCATGTTACAGATCAGTGACTACTTTATAAACATCTTTAGACCTGGAGACAACTCCCTGATTTCTGCTAATAAATAGTTATGCACGAGCAGATTTTGTTTCAGTTTACAAGCACACTGTTTAGACAATATAGCTAATAAAGTACATATAATCATTGTCACGTCAAAAACATTGTAATTAGTAATCAACAGACCACAGTACGCTTAAGTGAGGTTGGCCATCTTGTCTTATATAAAAGAGACCTCTGCTATAATACGGTACCTGTCCAATTTAATTAGCTTTAAACGCTAAAACTCGCTCCATTAAAACAGCCTGGGCACTTCCTGACAGCACTAAATTGGCACCTCTGTCCTTGTATGAAGACTCAGCACTGTTTTCAGATGCTAAATTCCCATTAGTGCCGCTATATCATGTCTGGAAGTGGCAATACAGAAGGGACTATAGAAAACTCTTACTTTTCATATCAATCTGGGCTTATGCTAGGATTTTATATGTATGAGCAATGAAATTATTTATTCAGTTTACTCATTCAAGCCACCATTCATGCACTCAGTCGGTCCATTTACATATTTTTGTTTGTTGGAACCCCTGTTTGGAAAAATAGAAAATATATATTTCTTGATGACAAATAATAATCCTTTTGCGATGCCCAGTGAGTTTGAAATACAGAAAAAGGTTTAGTCTTTCTTATAGTGTATATTTATATTGCCCTGTAGAGGTAACTTTAAGGTGCACTGTGCAACTTTTCTGGTGAAGGGTCCATCACCTGCTTCTCTGCATGGAGATATTGCCTAGAATGTTCCACAGTATGGCATTACACTCATATATCTCTACGGAAATAGGTAACACCACAAAGCCTAGTTACATGTCAGCTCTGTTGAGAGGTGAGCCCATTCACATGAAGAATGCAAGATTTTAGGTCAATAAAAGCCTATTATATTGAGTAAATGTGAGATGGGTACACTTAATGCCAAACCAGGACATTCCAGAAAAAGCAATAACATTTCCATGGAGATAAGCAGGTGGTGGTCCCTCTACTAGAAGTTAGAGTTACACTTCGGAAACATCACACTTCAAATCCACCTCTCAGTCATTCAGAGCACTGCTGAGGCTGACCAATAGGAGGCTTTATTTGACCATAAAACATTCAAGAGGAAATTTGTAGATCACAATATATGGCAATTTTTATAGCAATTTTACCAAAATAGCACAATGTCACTGGAATGAGATCTTGATTAAATTTTTACCTCCGCCAAGGAGGTTATGTTTTTGCCAGCATTTGTTTGTTTGTTTGTTTGTCTGTTAGCAACATAACTCAAAAAGTTATGGAAATTTTCAGGATTTGTTGGAAATGTGAAAAGGAAGAACTGATTTCATTTTGGGGGTGATCCGGAAGAAATCCTGGATTCTGGATCACTTTGAAATTTTAGTTAACATTGTGGTAAATGGGGCCAAAAATTTTGTTTCTCAATATCTTGGTTAATTATTGACCAAATCCCATGAAATTCAGGGATGGACAATGGGATCCTCTTTCATATTCTAAAGGCTGATCCGGATCTGATCCAGAAGACTGATTTTATTGCAATTTATATAAAAAAATGGGGGTAGTCCTTGGCGGAGGTCTGCGCTCTCTGAGTGCTTTTCTAGTTAACACTATTTCATTCAGCCCTACTTTAAAGGTGCATTGTGTAACTTTTCTGGTGAAGGGATCACCACCTGCTTTTCTCCACAGATGTTATTGCTCTGTATGGCATGTTTCACAGCATGGCATTAAACCTTTCTAATTTGATGGAGACTAAAAAAGCCGAGCTACAGTTCAGATCTGTGGAGTGGCAACCCCGCTCACAGTCAGAATGCCTGTTTTCCTAGATGGTTTTATAATCTGCAATCAAAGTAAGATAGAGCTGTTTAATGTCCTACTGTGGAACATTCCAAGCAGATCAGTGACATATCCATAGACACAAGCAGGTAACAGACCCCATACCAAAAAGTTACATAGTACACCTTTAATGATTTGCATATCTTCTAGTTCTGAAAGTGGTGAAAGTGGCTTAATCAGTGGTTAAATCATCTGGCCACCCACTCAAACGTCAGAAGTTTTTATCCCAGCTTTACCCAGTGCATACTGCCGTTGTGTCCTTTGGCAAAACACCTATTGAACTGTATGAATAATACTAATTCAATCCGTCATTATAAAACTAAGTAAAGTTTTTGTGTTTGTGAATGCTAGCTTTCCAATGATGTAATCCCAATCTGAGTGAGAAGTGAGAAGAGGGCAGCCAAAATTATGATTAGTTTATGTGCAAATAAATAACATTGGCACTAAAAAATTATAACACCAATTATAAAAAATTATAATAATAATAATAAATATTTTCAAGGACACATGCTGGCTTCTCCATAGACTAAAAACAAGCTGTATAAAATTGGCAACACAAATGACACTTTATGCTCATAGTTATATCATCAACAAAGAAGTGGCTATATTTAATCTGTATTGTATTGCCCCCAGTAAACAGCAGTCCACTGGTCACTTGCTTCTAACTCAGTACAGGTCATGTCTGATATAGTTTCCGCTACACATCGCTCTCACCTTATTAAGTTCTCTTGTAATCTTCTCCGGAAGGAACTGCTCTAAGAAATGTCTGAATTTGTACGCATCAATGGCAACTATCTCAGTACACCGTCTTTGCCAGTCGTCCCTGCAAGAAAAGGAGAGATCAGTTATTCAAGCAGTTCAGTGGTGTTCTTAGTTAAAGTGCATATGACAGGTTTGGATACACTTTTCACTAAAACATCATTATATTTAAAGGGGCCATATTACACTATTTTTCTGATCTCTGTTGCAATGAAATGGTCAATCTCTACAGAACAAAAGGTAAAGGGTAGTTGTTCATTTGAAAACTACAGCTTCATGAGATCACAAGGTGGAACAGAGCATTTTGAATCTGGGAGATGTAGATTTAGTAATAGGATTATTCAAACATGTGTGAATGAAACAAAACAGAACTCTGGGTATGGAAGTAACATTTCAACATAACTTAAAGCTCACAGAGTCAATTTTGTGTAATATACATTTTGAAAAGGAGATGGAAGTTTCTGTGTTGATACAGGTAGAGGTATTCCATTTTAGGACTGTAATTTTGAAATTTTTCTTCTTAGATTTTCGCACAAACTGCCACTTTATTGCTGTAAAACTATGATTAATATTTACCACAGGTGCTATCCCATCATAGTCAAAAAATCTATATTTGGCAAAATGTAGTCTTGTGAGGTTTAACCCATGTTATGATATAAATAAAACACAAAAACATACCTGGAATTGTGTTTTGTTTCATTCTCACATTTTGAGTAACCCTGGATTATTAGGGTGTCTGCATCTCCAAAGATCAAAATACCGTGTTCCACCCTTATGCCAAGAAGTGGTAGCTTCCAAAATAACAGCAACTTTTTATCTTTAGTTCAGAGAGGAACTCAGCCTAAATATGCAGGATTTGTGTGTTACACGTGTGAATGAAACAAATCAAAATAAAACGACATTATAACATAGATCAGAAAATACAGTAATATGGGCCCTTTAAATGAATAAAAGAGGATAGACAATTACCTCGGGGTCTCATCTTTGTAACTGCCCACCCACTTGTAACTCTCCGCATAACCCGAATATTTACTATACTGCTCGGTACCTGCAAAATACAACCAAACAATACAGAAAATGCATTATGTGGTATTTGGCAGTCACAGCACAGAAATCCCAGCCTTGATAATCTCTTTACTGCCCAAATTCAATTGAGACTATCTGGTTCTAGAGCGTGTACACTGTTGGGGTATTGGATTGTCATAAATAAAGTGCATTGATTGATTAAGTAATCCGCTTAGAGGGTTGAAATAAAAAGCCTTAGGGGGCAATGCCAGGAAATTGTTACACAGGAGAAACTAACCTTGGCAACAAAAGCTTCAGAAAAATGAAATAGCTAACACTTGAATTGACACGCTGGCATTTATACTTATAGGTTACAGTGTTGTTTTTGTTCACTCTCCATCATCATAAAAACAGGAGCTGATTCTGAAATGAGGCCTATTAAAGCTCCCAGACCTGATACATAATGCAAAAGGGGAAAGACGTGAGGGGGAGACACATTACTGCAATGATTGGTGCCAGTTACAAACTAATAATAAATGTCTTTGACTGTTTATGCAATAACAGTTAGTCTAAAGTAAACTGAGAAGAAGTTCTAGATGGAAAATTAACATAATATTCTACTTCTGTTTCAGAACATATAAAATTAAGAGTCGAATCTGCATCTGCAGGAAACTAAAAGACAGAAAAAGAGAGTTATGTTTGTAACTACAGTTCTATGAATCCCAAATGAAACCCCTGAAAGCAGTGATGGTTCATCCCAAGCTTTTGTCAGACAGGAGGATGAAATAGAAACTTTACTCTCAAAAATATTTCTCTAATCAGTTAGTTGAGATGAATCAAATTTGTATTGGTTGTACTTTATGAATAAACCTTTGAAAATTGTTTTCCAACGTGCCACCATATTCCATAGTTAAAATGTAAACTTGTTTTTTATACAATGTAAACAACTAACAGTCAATAAAGATTACAACACCACCTTTTAAAAAAGTAATTTCTGGTCCAATTTCATCATATGTATTTACATTTTTGTTTTTCAGCACTGACACTTTCAAATTAGATCCCCGATTGATTCTTTTAACAATACTATGAACAGACTCAAGCACAAATCTAATATTGCTTAGTCTTTGTGAAAAGTAAGTGGGCCAGGGATTTCCCTAATTGAAACCCTGAGTGCAGATTATTTTTAGTACCCTATTCACTCCAATTACTACATAAAATAAAATACCACAGCTCTACCAGTAGAAACATGTCCTTAACCTTTTGTCAAACATAAAACTCAGAATACACCCTTCAGATCAAGGACTTCCAGTGAACCAGCGACTCCTATCGTCACAAAAACAGAACACCTCAGTCTCTTAATCATGGCCGCCCACTTCCTCCTTCACCTCTGTCCCATTCATCCTCTCTCTGCCCCATAACGTCATCGCCATTGTAAAATTACAGCATAACCAATAACAGTCTACTGTGTAAATAACAAGTGATGATCTTCGACAGCTTAAAGGTGCACTTTTCTGGTTGTCCCTGTGGAGATACTACTGTTTTGCCCTGATTAATACAAACTATGGAAATAAACTTGGTAATCACAATGGAGACTAGGGTGCAACGATAGTTTTCCCACAATTCGATACGTATCTTGATACACGGGTCACAATATCAATTTGATACCTTTTATGACATACAAAAAAAAATCTCATGACATTTTTTTCTACTAATGACTATAATATAATAACACTATGATATTAATGAAAGAATACATACATTACTCACACAACTACTGTACAACTGGAGTTTATATGTGAAGTGTTAGTTCATTTGGTTCAATGATTTACAGCGCAGGATTGTTATTTTTATTAAGTGAAAATAAGAACATCATTTTCTCTCAGGCTGTTTTATTGTTTATAATATAGCTTAATCTTAATATAGACTGTTAGGGGAGTTAAACTATCTGACTTTTCCTTTTTGTTGATAATTTTATGGTTTATTTTCCTCCTGAGTCCTCTCACATCCATTCACATGCCTCATGCCCGTGTCCACGCTGCCGCGCTGCCCCCTCCAGCAGTGACAGACAGTAGCTCCTCCCACACTGCCCTGCTACAACCTGTGCTCTTACCGGACACACAGCGCTCTCCCAACCTCTTTCTGGACACTGAAACTATGTTACATTACATAGAAATATCTCAACTGACTGTTTTCTGACTAAAACGTATGAGACAGAGTCGGAGAAAATGACTGCATAACTCGTGAGCCGCTAGGGTGACTGGTGACCAGTTTGGCTGAAATTGGCTGAAACTGGCTGAAATTCAGGAAAGCAAAGTGTAGGCTCAGAAATGTTGATACGTTCTAAGTTGCTTTTCTTTACAAACACACACAAATCATGTTATCTAATAAAAAAATTGAGCTTTAATAAAGCGTCTGCACTAAAAATGCGCCTTAATGTAGGGGAAAGCTTGGTTGTGGCACTGCCTTACCTGCCTCCCCTGCCTGCACTTCACTGGTACACCACCTCACTGTCTCTCCTCTGCTCTCCACTCGGTTCCAAATTTGGTGGTGTGCTGCGTACTATCTGCCCACACCTTCACTCAGAAGCTCTTCCCTGTTATGACGAAGGAGGTGACCAAGGCAAATGTATGCCTTGTGAACAGAGCGTCTAGAAGCTGTCAGGGGCTGCGTGCAGTCGACTCAACCTCTCAACCAACAGTTTCTGTTTGAGTGTAATTTTCGGGACATTGAGGGTCGGATTCGAAATTTAGGACAACAGCTTAGATTTTGGTACTGTCCTGAATTTTTCGGGACGTCTGGTCACCCTATGAGTAACGATGCGGATGCGTATTCGAGTGCATTTAATTAAAGCCGATGTAAAGCCAAAAGCGATTCTAAAGTATTTAAAAGTTCATATCTTTGACATTTCTGGGTCTATCAATGTAAAATAAAAAGTGACTGAAAGACAAACCCCATCTCTGTTAGAATAATATCACCTGTAAGTTCCTGTGGAGTTGTTTTCTTACTGCATCTAAGGAGCATTTCCCTTTCAGACCAATATAAATGACAACACAGAGCACATGGAGGGACACGTGCATATCATCTGAACAAGTGTATCGAATCGTGTGACCAGTACCAAACGATTTGATATTATAATGAATATCAATGTATCCCAAATGGAGACAGGTTCATGGTCAGATTTATGAAGAAGAACATGCTAAGAACTGATATTGTTAAGGTATTTTTAAGCTATAAAACACCTGTAATGAACAAATGCAATGGAGATATGTTGATAATGATGATAATGCCCTACTGTGGAACACTCCAGGCAAAGAAATAACATCTCCATGGAGACAAGCAAGTAGCAGATTCTCCACCTAAGAAGTTACATAGTGCGCCTTTAAAATACAGAAGAAATACAAAAAAAAACAAGAAAAGCTTAGGTGTGGCGAATTTCTCAAAAAGATTTTTAAGAACGGAAATGCGGGCTGGGACCACTGCCCGGTGTTTTAATGAATCTATGGCGTAACTGGCCCATTCCATTAGGGGACCGCTGACCTTAGTTGGGTTATAAATTCCTTTCTGTCCAAATGTAATAAAGTTAAGTGGATGGGAAGAGGGGTGGGGGTGGGAGGAGTGGAATGGGGGGGTGTGGTGTGTGGGCGGGCGGAGATGAGCGGGCGAGCCACTGAAGGTGACTTGTGTGTACCAACGCAGACAAAATGGCGCCGTTCGATTCAGACGAGAGGGAGAGAGAGAGAGGAAGGTTAAGTTCTTCTTTATCTGACCGTCCTCCATCTTTGAATGACATCAGAATATAATAAAAATGTATGACTGTACTTGGTTCTAGGGTTGTTAGTAGTATCGGAAATCATATACTAATCAATGCTTAAACTCGTACTGAAATAAAGATACTCATTTAAGCAAATATAGATACTGAAAAAAAAACATAACTGGATAATATCTGATCTTTTCTTCTTTTATCCAGTGGTTTATCACGTGGTATAATAGACATACTTTTATTTTGTATTGAAAATCACAATATTTTCTAAAATGAGCTTTTAAAATCATGATATGGTTGTAAGAAAGTATCAATAGCAATAGAAAATCAAATAGTAATCAATGATAATTTTAGTATTGACATAAAGATACAAATTTAATCAGGAAAAAATAAATTAAAAAATCATATAACTGGATCAAATTTGACCTATCCTGAACAGTTTCATGTTCAGTAATAATTGAGTTTTATCAGAACTAGTGAAAGGGCACATTGTATATTACACACATTATTATAATTTTGTGTTGAAAATTACAATAGTGTCTAAAAAGAGCTTTTAAAATCATCATTTGGGTTTCAAAATCAGTATCAAGTCTGTTCATTAGTATCGAAATAGAGTTTGAAATATTAGTATGGTGACAACAGTTTCAACTACAGCATCGAAAATACTCCATATATTTAGTTATTTAAAATTCACAGGCAAATCTTTAAACTACAACTGTAATATTGAGACAGAAAATTGAACACACTGATTCCATGAATGCACAAAGTGCCATGATTTCTACAAACAATTGGAATCTTATATTGTCAGAAGGGTTGGTGCTATAGATCTAAGTTATAATAATGTAATTACTAGGGATGGGACAAGATCTCGTGCCACAAAATCTCTCAAGACACAACTGCCACTAGACTCTGTACACATGAGGAAAATGATCTTCTGAGATTTGGCTGAAAAACTCCTGTTGAGAAAAGGTAATGCAAAAGGGCAGTGCTCGTAAGACAATAAAATTAAATACACAAAACAATTGTGAAGCCAAAATTATGAACTGAATGGCACAATTTATTTATTCAAAATTATATCAAAATCTTGTCTTGTCTCATTTTTGTAGGGCATATTATTTAATTATTTTATATTATTTACCAAAATTAGAAGCTAAAATGTATTGTTAATTCTCCTGGAGAAAAAAAAAAACATATACAAATGTTTTGTTTTTTTTCTGAAAACTGAACCCGCATTCAGAGTATTTTTTTATGTATGATGTAAATATGTATATGAACTCACTATAGCCAAACACTGAAAATGAAAGATGTAAGAATTATTATTTTTTGTCTCACTTTTGTTTTTTGATCTTACATTTTCTGCTATAGGGTATTAACTGCAAATACATAACGTATTCAGATAACCATGTTACCTTTTATCGTTTTGGAAATCCTGTCGTGCCCAATTATATTATTATATTATTAACATAAATTTTTGCTTTTAATACCCTGAGCCCCTCTTTTTGCTCTGCATTCTAAGTCACTCCCCCTTCAGAGTGCTATCAAACTACAAAGGGCTCTATTCACGCTTGCGTCACAAAACAAACAGACATTTGGAAACATGCGAATGACGACTTCCTTTGGGCTTTGTTGGCGATAGTAACTGAAAATGGCATGGTTTGCTTCATCTAGATGTCACTGTATTCTTTCTTTTTTTCATTTTTTTGTGTATTATAATTTGTCTGTGCTATGTTCAGCAGATCCACAGTTACAACCATCTTGTGATTAGAGTCCTGTCCCCCATGGAAAGCTTTGGCAGGCTGTGAAGACTCTGCTGCTGAATCCATGATTTTATCACATGCCCAGTGTCGGTAACTACACCGGAAGTCTTCATCCACATGTTTCCAAATGTCTTCCGATAAGCGTGAATAGATCATGTTTTTGTATATTTACAGAAAATAATCATGTGAGAGCATAGGCTTTTGTGCTGAGCATTGCCCAGAAGCTTACAACTAATCGTAAGGAGGGTTCGAATAGGGAATGCTAAATTACTGAAACATGCATGGATGACATCTAAAACCTCTTCAGGCATTTTTTGATGAAGGACCATTATAACATGATAGAAAGCTCAAAACAAACAAATTAGATCACTGTACCACTGTAATGCCTGTAATTTTCTGTAATTGTTGTTAAATAAAATGAATAACTTGTTACTAAATACTCAGTACTGTTATTTGTGTCTTGGTACTCAGTGTAATAAATGATCTTATAGTGTTCAGTGCAAAGGGAGTTCAATCAAGGAGATGTAAGTTATAACACATGTCATTTTAAGACTAAGAACAATTAATCAGGGCTGTTAATGGAGCTGATCCTTCATACAATCACATGGCCCGGCATTTGTAATTAACTTGATGTCTATTTAAACACATCACATACGAATGAATAAAACATGAGAAGTCAAAGATATGTTCAAAATAAGTCAAGTTAGGTGCATTAATTACAATTGTCTTATTGTAGTTTCAGCTATTAAAAGTTTGAAGTTAGGAGAAATAGGAGTTAGGAGAAATTTTTGTAAACATTGTTATAGCAACCACTGTATTCATTAAGGGCAGTTCTGAGTCACAGTAAGCAATTAAAATTTCCAAGTTAAGACTATTTTTGTACAAATATGTTTAAATAATACAAAACAAATTTCAGGTGCTAGGTATGTGCTATGATTAATAGATGATTTGAAGGATTTCGTGAGGATCTTTCCCCACTGAATAAATAGAATATTTTGATTTGAATTGCTATGACAACGGAGGATGGACGCCATAGCTTGAAACCTATGAATAAATTATGTAATATGTCTGTGTAAATCATTATTATTATATCATTAATAACTGTTATGTTAAATGTGAAGCTAGCAATTCATTTATCAATATTGGATCAATGCCACACTCATACAAAAAATGAAAAACCTATGAGAATAAATACAAAATTAGAGAATTGTTTAAACTTGGAAAAAACATGGATTAAAAGTTGTGAAGTTTTTGTAGTTATCTGTTGTTATAGCAACCACAAAATTCATTAAGGACAATTTCGAGTCTAATACAAATTTAAAATAAAGAGAATTTCTGTATAAATGTTGTATTGTAAAAAAAATTATGAATAAAATTATTTAGGTGCTGTGAATAACAGATTGCTAGTTATAGATTGAGTAATGGTTCAGTGTAAATCAGTGTTATTATGTCTATGTCTGTTATTTAAAATTGTTAAGTTATATGTGAAGCTATTAATTAATATACCAGAAGTGAATCTATGCACACAAAACATATTGGAATAAATGCAAAAATATGGAATTGTTCAAACCTGGACAGACCCTGGATTTTAAACGCAGACTGTAGCGTGTAGTGAAAGTGATTTTGAAAAATAGAGCAATTTTGCTACACAGAAATGAATGATCACTGGGCAGTCCCGTGTGAATCAATGCCATAGATTTACCTTCAGAGCGGATGGAAGGACAAGCTGGAAATGAACTGAGCACAATAAAGGCACAGGGCTTAATAAAGAACAGAAATAACTCAAGAGATCGCAACACGGGGGCAACTCCGCCGGACCAGGAGGGAGGGAGGAGCGCCAGTGTGGAGCGGTACAGGGGTGGGTACGGATAGATAAAAGTGAGATAAAAATAAAAAAACTGAGAAATTAAAGGCGGTGGATTTTGTGATTATTACAGTAGTATAAAATAATAATAGTGAATTAAAATATTAATAGATAAGCTGTTTTTTTTAAAGTGTATAATTTTGTCAAGGAAAACAGCAAATAAAAAAAAAAATCTATAAAAGTCTGCAAATACACGTGTTGAAAAAAACTTTATAATGGTATTGACATTTAATATGAGGGGGTTTACACTTATGTCCCATTTTTAAAAACGGACTTTCTGTTTTTATTATAGGTGTACTGTATCGGTTATTAATGTATGATGGACTGTTATTTTGTGTGTGTGTGTCTTTCTTCGACTTCAATTGGCTGAACTGGGAACTGGAGATGGAAATTAGCCATGTAATCACACACAATTCATCCTCTACAAATAAAAGAAAATACAGATTGCGTAGAGTTGTGCAAAATGCTAAAATAAGTTTATCAGAATTGTTGTGCAAAATGTTAAAATAAGTTTAGTTGAATTGTTTTTGTATCACATTTTCCCTCACATGTCACATATTTCGTTTATCTTATTCCACCCTATCCACTTTTGCCATATATGAGACTATACTGCGCTTTCTTTGTGGTGGCACTTTCAGTTTCGTCATTTCGTCGAGCTGATTTGTGCAAAATGTTCAGTGTTAATGTGACCAATAAGTTCCAATGCACCAATTCTCTGGGAGACTTTAAAGCAGCTTTGTAGTCTGTATAGAACTCATTTCAGCTCCATGCCAAATAAGAAAACTCAAAAGACGATGACTTCCGGTGAATATATTGAAAAAGACAGCTAAAGTAGTGTTTTCTTGTGCGTATGTGTGCGTGTCTTCGTGTATGTGTGTGAGACCTGTGATGATGAGGCACTCATTGCTCTCCAGAGCTTCGGTGAAAAGGCGGGACACGATGAGCTCTGGGTTTATGACGAATCGGATCTCCTCCTGGACCAGACCGTGTCCAGTCACTCCCCCTCCCACAAACCTGTTTGCGAAGTCCACCTGGCAACAACACACACACCACACACACATACTATATTAAGATTGCAATCTGTATTCATTTTTATATTTTTTACCCAGCCAAAAGAATATGTTTTTTTTTTACATACGCTAGATGATTATGATTGTAATTGATTTTAATCAAAGTCAGCGTGAGGACTGCTGGTCAAACAGGGGGAAACTCTGGAAGGAAGATCTGACTTCAGTTACATTTGTATAGAAATATCTAACTGTAATTGCATAACAACCCTGCTTTGCAAATAAGTAAGTCAGGAGTAAATATGTTTCATAATAATCCTCAATTTCACGACTTTATTTTTCAAAATCTCAATTATTAATTCACACATGTTTGATTAATTCTGCATTATTTGTCTACATCTCCAAAGCTCAAAATGCTCTGTTCCATCTTGTGATGTCATGAAGCAGTTAACAACCACCTTTTACCTTTAGCTCAAAAGAAATTGGCAATTTCAGATCTGAAATGATCCAAATGATTCCAGTGAAGGATTATGGCATTTAAAAATACAGTGGCATTTAAAAACACAGTGTAGCCCTTCCTGTACTACCACATGACATCACAAAGTGGAAAAAGTGCTTTCGGTTTAAGAGAAGAACTATGCAAATATGTAGAGTTTGTGCGTTAAACATGTGTGAAAGAAATAAAACACAACTCCAGGCATGTTTTTCATGAGGAAACAACATTATAACAGAGAACAGAAAACAGCGCAATACGGGTCCTTTAATGTACAAATCTTCCTGTTATTCTATCATATTGACCATAATCAGATCATTGAAATATTATTCTCGTCTCCACTTCCTACATGAAAACAATTACCGTACAGTATATCAGCAGGCAAAAAGATGAAATCTTTGCTCACTACAAAGATTACTTCCACTGAAATTGTAATTTGCTGAGAAGGAACACCACTAAAACTCAAATTATAATTTTGGTGCATATATTTTAACCAAATCTGACACAATTGAAAGGCAATAAACTCTAACCATCTAATTTTTGAAACATATTAAGTATTTTTACACAGTACACTATTTTTATGTTGAGTAAGGCTGCACCGACTTGATACCGATATCTGATATTGATACTGATACTGATAAATTTGCTGGAACTGATATCGGCTTCCAAATATCAGTATCCTGGCTTGGCATATAAATTCAGTGTGAAAAGACTATTTACTAGTTTTAATTGGCACAAAAAGTCTCATAATGTTTGAACTTTTTTTTATACAAAGTTGTTCTGTAGTTACTTCAGAGATAAATGACAGTTACATAACACATTTGGTTCAGTTTTGTCTTATTTTATTTTTGTTTAAAGTAAAAAATAAATGCTATTGTCTCAGTTCTGGTATCTGTTGATATCGGTAATCAGCAGACACTTAAAGCTATAGTATCGAAAACTGTATCGGAACTGAAAATGCTGGATCGGTGAACTCTGCAAACATGTTATTACAGTGCATCATTCTTTTTTTGTTTACATAAAAATACTGAAAACTCCTCTAAACTAAATTATGTAAATATATTTATATCATTTAAAGTAATAATAACAACTTCATAAAAATACAAGTGTAATATTATGAGATGTTTTGGGCCAGCACTGTCCAATAAATCGTCTTATTACACCAATTTACAAACCAGAATGGGAGATTGACTGAAGCTGATACCTGATTTACCAAACTGTTCATAATATCTGATACTAGTACTTTATCGGTGCATCCCTAGTTCTACAATGTATACATGTATACTAGTACCAGTCACTGTTTTCAGAGTCTTCAATCGAATCAGAACAACTGTTTTTGTGCAGAGGAGGTCCCACTTAGTAAGCATGTCAGTATTCGCAGTCAGAGGTTGGGGTCACGCTCACTGGCCCATATCTCCGTCCGTCTGGTGACAGTCACAGTGTTTGTGTGTGTGCGTCTCCCTCTTCACCCATTCACTCCCTCACCCCTGGCCTCACCCCTTCACCACTCAATCTCACCCCCTGACAGGATGACAGCTCGCCCACAGCATCACCGCGTCGCCCTGAAGAGCTCTGCGGACACCCCACCCTCTCCCCCACAGCCTCCCACTCTCCTCCCACTCTCCCCCACACCCCCACCCAAGGGTGCTCCGCACCACCCTTTCTCTCCTGGAGCTACTCATGTGTATAGATAAGCTGTCAGGAAACACAAATGTAGGAGCTGAAGTAGAGCAGTGGGGTGGTAAACCTGATGGGCCGATTCACTGTACAATGTAGCTTCATTTTAGGCCATAAATATTATCAGAGATTTAAACAAAAACTGGACTTTTTTTGGAAGCCAGCATTTGAGTCACAGTCACCTACACAAGCCCTGGTGAAGAGATCTGTTTTTTTTGTTTTTTTGTTTTTTTTTACACAACTCAGATCTTTGTGCCCTCTTAAGGTGTTTTTATATCTGTAATAATCTGTTTAAAGATGCAATGCCACCTGCTTGTGTCTACTGAGATTCACCTACAATGTTCCACAGTATGGCCTTAAACCTCTCCATCTCCATACAGGTGGCACTACCAGGTGAAGTTACAAAGAGAGGTGAAAGTATTTGTGAGCAATAAAAACACAAGTAATTAAATAAATGTGTGATGTCATTCTTAGCGTTCTGCTCCAGTCAAATGAAGCTCAGAATGGTAGCAGTTATAGGGGCAAATTTGGAGCTGAGTTCCATATTAGAAATAGGAATTTAAACAAAATTAAAACACCAGGATCATGTAGAGCAGGTTAGTACAAACATTTTAAGACCAAAATCCCAAGGTTCACTGTAGCAGTTAAAGAGAGATGTGAGAGATTTTGGAATCAGCCGATATATACATTATATATACATGCCTTTGCGACATGACTGTGGAACATTTCAGGCAAAGCAATAACATCTCCATGGATACAAGCAAGTGGCAGATAACCTACCAAGCATTTAACAATTGTGCATTTAGCATCTGTCTGTCAACTTAATTTAGAAGAGAGCGTATTCTTTGTAAAACGCAGGTGCAGTATTTTTGTCCCATTTGAAAATTCCTGGTTGTTCAGTGTGACAAAGTGCATAATGTTCCACAGTATGGCATTAAACTTGTGTCATACTGTGAAACAATCCAGGCAAAGCAATAACATCACTATTTATATTTCTGCTCTTTGTTATTATAATATATTCACATGTATGAGCTACTGTATCCAAATAATGTCCCTTGTGGATCAATAAAGTTCTAAAGTCTAAATTTAACAAGTGGTGGAAAACCTACCAGAAATGTTACACAGTGCATCTTTAAAGAGAGAGTGTTTAAGCATGTTTTTACTCATTGTCCCTGCTTAATTTAGAGGAGTGTGCATGCTTTGTCAAACGCAGGTGCAGTATTTTGGTCCCATTTGAAAATCCCTGGTTGTCCAATCTGACAAAGTGCATAAAGGAGCGCGCACCTGCAGCATTCCGTATCCATCCTCCTCAATGGTCCCCTTACAGGTGATGTGTAGACGTGTCAGCTGACTTTGAGAGCTAGAGGACACAACAAAGAACTTCAGCTACTGAGAATGACAAATACGAGACAAGTGTTCAAAAATCACACTTTGTATCTTAATGTATTCTGGGATAATTGGGAAAATTTGGGGGAAATTTGATTATGGATACTTGCATTCAATCAACAAGTTTATCTGTCCAGCCAGAACCACACTTTGAAAAAAACTTTACAAAGACGAGTGAATATGGAGTCATTTCCTGTAGAGATGTAACAATAACCAAACTATCGTGATATCAAATCGTCAAAAGTCTCACAATAATACCGTGGGTTGTCAAGGTATATCAAATCAAGTCTCAAGTCTCTTTGCTTAAATTAATTGTTGTGGTTCAGCAATAGCTAAAAGAAACAGAAGGAACTCTGTTTCAGTCCAATTTACACAATGAAATAACTTATTAAACGCTTTTAAATCTTAACACTTTTGGTTTATAACAGAACCAAAGGCATTTTTAAAGGATAATGTAGTATATTCACAATTTCATTAGCCTACACAAAATAAATAAATCACTAAATAATGTACCTTGAGATGCATATCATGAAAATTTTGTACAGAGAAATTTGGATATCGTTACATCCCTAATATTTTGTGTCCCTGATTTCAGAGGGTGTGACTGATAGGTGGATTAACCATCTGACACATAAAAAGGAGAAAAATCTACATAAAGAACCACCAAACTTTTACATTCTCAGGTAAAAGAAGTTATTTTTTTTTTTCTGAATATCTGAATTTTGGAGAGGAGATGTCTTCTGCATTTGAGAGACACGTGCTACAAAATGGCAGCTGTGGTTGGACTGTCTCAAGGTTATTCACGCTCTGTTGTCCGGCTCTAGTCCGTTCTGGATTCAAACATAATGTAGAATGGACTGGCTGCTGAGGCAACCGACAAGCCAACAATCCACCAATTCTGAGGGAGACTTTAAAACAGCTTTGAGTCTATATAGAACTTATTTTCAGTCACGATCAGCAGCTCCATGCAAAATAATAAAACACGAATGATGATAACGGGGCCCATGGCAACTTCTTCTGGATTAAGGTGAATACTTAGATTTTAAAAATACTGTGAAAAAAAGACTGTGTAAATGCTGTGACTAAAATACGCTTCTTAATTGTTGTTTACTAGAAGCACTGTAACATGCATTATTTATTTTACAGATCTCTTTCATACTGACCATAATTGGATCATAGAAATATTATTCACATCTCCACTTCCTACATGAAAACAATTACAGTATGTCAGGGGGCAAAAAGATGAAATATCTGTTCAATACAAAGATTAGAGATCGAAATGCCTTTGCCTCGAAATGGGCTCTATTCACGCTTAGGTCACAAAACCAAAAGATGTTTAGAAACATTTTATTTTGTCACAGCATCAGTTAACTTGAAACTAAAGATCAGGATTTTTGAAGACAAGAAGGGGCTGGGGAAAAGGACTATATAATGAATAATATAATACATACCTTTCCCAGTCTGGGGAACTAGTTACAGTTTGTCTTGTAAACGTGACCAGACCCTTTGGCCCTGGAAAATAAGAAACATGATTAAACACAATTAAAGGGAATAACTGAGGATGTATAGTAAAGATGGTACAAGATCTCGTGAGACAAAATTGCCAGAAGATTGTGTACACATGAGAAAGATGATCTTAGGGTTACGTATTGATAAATTACATTAATAGTTTGAAAAAGCAATACTAGAATGGAAACAAAACTATGAAAGTATATAAAACTGTAAGGTCGAAATTGGAAAGTGAATCATGAAATATAAGTATTAGGAATTATGTTAAAATCTCGTCTTGTCTCGTTTTGTGGACCCAACCTAGTATATCATCTTGTCTTGTGGAAATTGCGTTTCATCTCTTTCTTAATATATGGTAAAGTTGACTTACTGTTTTGGGTAACTCTCTTGAAATAACACAACAGGGTTTTCAACTTCTCAATCTTTCGTGTAGAAGAACCTTCAAATAACCTGGAAAACAACAGAGAAAATAAAATAATATTAAAAATTAAATTAAAATTGCCTTACTAGTTTGAGTCACCATTCTTTTGATAACCCTAGTTAAATAAAGCCTGATTGATTCAAAGGTGATTCAAAGTCTCTCAGTTTGCTGTTCACAATATGGCGCTGTCCATGGTCCTGATTCATTATACATTATACATATATTCCTTTTTTTTTCAGTAGTTTGTCAATCTCCCTGCATTTTAAAATTTTTTTTGTTGTTTTTTTTTTTTTTTTGAATGAGTCACTGGCTGCCTAAACTTTTTTACTTAAAATGAAAACAATCTTATAAATCCAACCACAGAAAGTCACCACTGCATATAACATACTGTATCTATTCCCTTTTGTGTCTAATACCAGGACCTACCAGACCACTTCAATAACCCTGTGTATCCCTGTGTCATTTTCCACTCAAACTGTAGCAAACCTGAGAGACAGCCTCAGCCTTTTTCCAGCCCTTCCATCTATCCATCACTTAACGGAGGACAAACCCTGACACTTCTGCCAAAACAGCAATCAGCAAATTGCTCCCTGCTCTGCTCACCCAAGACAGAGTGCTACTGTAGCCGATAAGCAAAGTGATGGACACTCCCTCAATTACAGCGGGCGGGAGGGAGGGGGCGCCGTAACGATCCACACACGTTTTCTCACCACCGTTGTCCTGTCTCATCTTCTTCCAAACGCTAAGGCATTTCTTTACTAGGGTTGAACAATTTGGGAAAAATATCTGTGTTTTTCTACCAAGTATTGCAATAACATTTAAGATTTACAGTATGTTTTGATAATAGAATTCTGTTTTAAGGGTCAATTGTGTAATTTTTTTGGTGGAGAGTCCGTTAGATGCTTTTCTCCATGGAGATGTTATTGCTTTGTCTGAAATATTTCACAGTACGGAATTAAACCTTTCTATCTTTACCAGCCAAACCAGCCCAAGTTATAAGTCAGATCTGTGGAGAGAGAACCCTACTCACAGTCAGAATGCCTGTTTTTCTGAGTATTTTTCAGCTATAAAATTACCTGTAATTGAATAAATGTAAGGTAGAGCTGTTTAATGTCAGACTCGGGAACATTCCAGGCAGAGCAATGACATATTCATAGAAACAAGTAGGTGACGACCCATTAGGCCCTCTACCTTACATTTATTCAGTTAAATGGTGGTCAAGTGGTTTATAGTAGAGCCCTGCACATTTTGAAAGCTCACTGTGGGCGTGGGTGGGATAAACTGCAGTTCCGTGAACTAAATATGAGCATAAAGTAAAATCTACAAATGATGAATGTATGCCTATCATACATAATTTGTGCTGGATATTTGATTTGGCATTAATAAAAACATTTTTAGCAGACGTGGTCTAATCTTTCGCACATTTTTGACAATTCCTTTCCGCTTCTCCGTGTTTGATAGAGCTTAAGAAAGTGAAGGTCCCCATCTTGAGGGATTTGCAGATAGGAGTGGGTCAAAATATCGCAGATGTGGGTGGGAATTCTTTGGGGACACAGGTGGGAGCAGGACTGAAAATTTTGTCCCGCACAGACCTCTAGTTTATAGCTCAAAAATACCTAAAAAAACAGGCATTCTGAATGTGGGCGGGATTGCATTTCCACAGATCTGGCCTGTAACTTGGTCTGGTTTGGTCTCCATGATCATAGAAAAGTTTAATGCCATACTGTGAAACATTCCAGACAAAGCAACATCTCCATGAAGAAATATTTGACAGACCCTCTACCAGAAAAGTTGCACAATGCACCTTTGAAGTTCACATTTTAAACAGGTCCAGAAAAATGGGTCAAAAAGACTAAAATATGACCTGACAACCTAACTTATTTTGTTTACTAGAAGCACTGCATTATTTAATGTACATATCTCCTTATTATGCTATCATGTTGGCCATAATCAGATCACTGAAATATTATTCTCGTCTCCACTTCCTACATGAAAACAATTACAGTACATGAGGAGGCAAAAAGATGAAATCTCTGTTCATTACAAAGATTAAAGGAGCAGGAACACCACTAAAAATCTACTTACACTTAATTATGGTACATATATTTTAACAAAATCTGACTCAAACTTTAAAGGTTTATACAAAATTTAATAAAATGATGACATTTTTGAGACATTACATTTTTACACTGAATGATGCAAAAATTTGATTACAGTGAACCCTTTATTTCAGAACATGTTTGGTTTAATATTTGGTTATTTGTGGAGGAAATTGTACTAAAAATGGTATTTGCTAATTGCATTAATTCAAACTGCGATTTCAATTCATCTTAATCTTGCAACCCTATTATTTTATTGAATTGTATTGTATCATGTTTTATTGTTGTCTATTCCATGTATTATTATTTATTTTATTTTATTTTATTCATAGTTGAAGGGAGAAAAGAAGAAGAAAATTTTAATTAATGCAGTGACCGAGACGTGTACGTTTTTTTGAGAGATGCATATAGTTTTTTTACGTGCTATTTTGGGATTTTACTTTTTTGTATTGATTTTGTTGCTGCTATCATGACCTGGTCTCTCTTGAAAAAAATATTCTGAATCTCAATGGGATCTCCTGGTTAAATAAAAGTAAAGTCAAAAATAAAATAAAAAATATATAATATAAAAAAAAAAAAAGATTGTGGTGAGGGGTCCGTAGCGTACCACGAGAATCAATGCTTACATAGTTAGCTCAGCCCCCTCACCCGCTCTGCCCGCTGCCACCGCACAAATCTGATGTGGGCCCAGATAGCAGCCACTTACACAGATGAGTGATTGTAACAGGAGGCCAGAGGAGCAGATAAAAGCGTCGAGAGCGGGGGAGGAGTCATGTGAACAAGCGCCATGATCAATATGGCCGTCTGATCATAAAACAGACTCTGGGGGAAAGGACTCAGGCTAATGGGATTAACAGGAGGACATGCAGATTACAGGGAATGACAGAGCAGGAGATAAAACAGGATTTGTGTAAGAACTGAGCTGTGTCAGAATTTACACTTATTTTGGAATGTTGACTGACAAAATATGATATTGGAATATGCTTGGAATACATAAAAAAAACACAAGTTCAATGTAGAAACCAGTGTTTTGAGTTGTCCTTCTTAAAAACATTTTTCACATTCACACATTCAACACATTTAAAATGAGTTTTATTATGTAAATCAGTAATCAGTAAATCAGCCTAATTAGCTAAAGAAATCCTAAATAAATGTCTAATTTTATATTTCTGTGTACTTTTCACTGGTTTAAAATATGTATTGGGTGAAGTACTGAGAACCGGGCAAAGAGTCTCAAAGGGTACATTTGTTTCACTTAAAGGTCCCTGGGCCCCATGGCGTCTGCCTCTTCTGAGTGGGCAGAAAAAGACAACAGCAATTTAACACTCCTCCTCCTGGCCCCGCCCACAGTCTAGACTCAGAGCTTCAGATTAGGGAGCTCCCAGGGGCCATCAATTACCTATCATGGTGCACTGTTGTAATTTATAATCATTTTATTAAATGTCAAATATAATGTATTATTTCTTATTTGGGATTTTTGCATTTGTGTTTGATGTTTTGCAATTGAAAATGAAAAACAGGTAAATGTAGGCAATTAGACCTAATTCCTTTGCTTAAAAAACATAATTGACTTCTGCATAGAATGAAGTAGGGTTGTGCCAAAAACTGTATGATCGATAGACTGTGATCTCTATTTTGGTTGATCTCGATAAGGCATGTAAAGTTGAATCGACAGGCCTACAGCCAATCATGTGGCAGTAAGAATGCATGGTGCTGACGACAACTTAAGGCTGTCTTGTTTAGGAAAAAGCAGTCAGGGCCACAGGGCGTCTCTGTTTAGTCATGAGTGCTCATCTTTCACAAGTTTTGACATAAATCTGCACAATCTGACTAAAAGTCCAGTGTCTCCTTCTCTCTGTCTCTGTGTGTGCGCATGGTGTGGTCTGCCTCTCTCCTCCTGCTCCTCCTCCCTCTCTGATTCAGCACCTCACCTTTTCTCCTCTTTCTCTCCTTTTCTGCTTCTGATCAGTATTATCCAAGTTACGAAAAGTTAACAAGTATTTTCTCATTGTTTATGAATGAAACTTAAGTCCTGATTTAGAGCACAAACATTGCACGTGTTTCTGTTGATAGTTGTAGCTCGAATGCACGTGTTTCTGCCACTTATATTAACTCTAACGCATACGCATGTTACTATATTTATTTATTTTAAACAGTTAAAGCTAACATTTATGATATATTAATTTATCATTGACTTGACCTGATCCCAGTATTATAAAGGCACACTCACACTAGCCCAATTGAACCATCTCCAGCATGGAGAGCTCCTAAAGTGCAGTATGCTTGTCCAGAGTGAGCGCAACCGGCACAGTTGCGACTTAGACTCAGAGGAGGAGGTGCACCAAAACATGCCACAGAACTCATGTATGTGCATAGGCACAATGTCAGTATACGAGCCCTGTCAAGTGCACTGTTACTCTCACGAGGAAAACTGTGAAAAAACTCTGCTCCAAAACTCAAGTGAATCCAAATTTTCCTTCATTAAGGACTGTAAACAGCGACAGAAGTTTTGCAGCCTCTCTCCTCCAGCAGCCCTCACTCCTCTTTTTATATTCATAAACTCACAGAAGAGCGCATATTGCAGCAGGAATCACATCTGTCTCATTATTAGATATTTCATGTTGATGGAGTTATTTTTTTGCTAAAGTGTTAGCTCTGTAGACATGTAAACAAACAGCACTCTGTATGACGTCATCAGGTCGCGGCTCGGATCACTTGTGCAGGTAAGAGTGTAGAACATAGAATCGTGCTTGAGAGCAGCATGGTTCTAAAGTCCTAGTGTGAGTGCGCCAAAATCATACCACTAATCTCAGAGTAGCTGCAGTACTCAGACATACCTATAGAAGTTGATCTCAGGGTAGTTGCAGTACTCAGACTTGCGCGAGTTGCGTCGGGGGAATGTGCAGAAGAAGGCGTTGGCCAGCAGGCAGGCGATCTGCTCCTGAGACAGCGTCAGTGAGTGGTTCATCCGAGATTTTAGTAAAGGAATGGGCTGCCAGAGAAAGAATATGTCACTGGATTAGTTTTAATAAAGAATAAAGTGTGTAACTAAAGGTGAACACATCATATGATGTCATGTGGTTAATACAGGAAGCGCTCCACTGTGTTTTTAAACTTTATATATCTTCACTAGAACCATCTGGATAATTTCTGCCACAGTGTTGCCCTCCTCTAGTGAACTAAAGATAAAAAGTAGCTGTTAATTTGAAAACTACCACGGCATTTTGAGCTGTGGAGAGTAATAATCCAGGATTACCCAAACAGGTGTGAATGAAACAAAACACAACTCCGGGTATGTTTTTTTTAACATGACCTAAAACTCACAAGATTCCATTTTGTATAATACAGGACCTTTAAAGTAAAACCAAACATTTTGATAATTCATGTACATTATATTACAGTGGGTGTGCAGACCCACATGACTGTTGGGAGGGCAGTGTGGCTGTTCTTGGGGATAACACATAATTAGTTTAGCAGTCCAGAGCGGAGGAGAGACAAGGCGAGTTCCATTAGGTAAATTGGTGGCAGTAATCAAGGTCCTGGTTTCAGTTAGACCCACAGGGCTCATCCATCTGCACTGATTAGAGCTAAAGAGCCTCCCCAAGGCTGCCCAGTTAGCAGATCAATACAGTCTAATAACACACACATAAACATTAGCCGTGACTGTTAGAGCCACACTACAACTACCTCAGGACAAAAAGGGAACTCCATTGTGCAACAAGTACTTATGAGCTCTAAAAATACTCACACATTTTATTGATTTAGAATATTTGTCAATTCAGGCTATGTTTTCTTATAGATGTTTTAAAATGACAGGTACATGTTCTATATTACACAAAATGTTTTCTTGTGGGAGTTGTGTTTTTTTTCATTGACAGATGTTTGAATAATCCTTTATTATCATTCTACATCTACAAAGCTGAAAATGCTCTGTCTGTTTCACCTTGTGATGTCATGAAGTTTACAATTACCTTTTACCTTTATTTCAGTAGTGATTGGCAATTCCAGGGCTGAAATTATGCAAATGATTCTACTAAAGGTGTGTGGAGTGTAAAAACACAGTGGAGCACTTCCTGTATTATCACATGACATCACAAGGTGGAAGTGTTTAGTGAGAGAAGAACACAGGCTAAATATGCAGGATTTATGTACTAAACATGTGTGAATGAAACAAAACAAAACAAAAAGGACATAACATTATAACATAGATCAAAATAACGTAATATGAGCCCTTTAAAGGGCGAAGTAAAGACCACTCTTTTCACTAAAACATATAATAATCATATACAATTAGATGCTAAAGCTAATGTTCCTAACATGATGTTAGTTTTATACATTGTGGTATTCTAAACCAGTGGTGAAGTGAGTAATTAAGTGAGATTATATGATGACATATAAGCAGTGTTGGGGAGTAACGGATTACATGTACCGCCGTTACGTAATCAGAGTACAAATTATGAGTAACTGTATTCCGTTACAGTTACTGCTTCAATGAGTGGTAATTGGATTACAGTTACTTTGCTGAAATAAGTGGATTACAAGGCGGTATTTTCCTGTTTTCACATTTTGTGCTACATCCCATTTATTTATTTTTTTATTTCGGTAATTCCACTCATTGCCGGAAACCCAAACAGAACGCGACAATAAGAGCGATGTAAACGTCATGATTAAAGTTGGCGGTGTCAGTCACACAGTGGAAGCAGCAGTGCATTGGTAAAAACCTATTTGTGTCTTGGAAATTCTTCTCCCGATGTGAGATATATATAAAAAAACAAAAACAAATATAAAATCGCCTACAACTTAAATGTGAAACCGGAGCTACTGGCACTGGTGAAAACAACCGGCATAGACTCATAATATCTGCACTACTGTCCTATAGTGACCTGCCACATGAGGGGACACACACACAAACACACACAAACACACACCTTCATCATCGTCATCAACCTGAGAACCCGCGGACCACGTTTCCTTCCGTAGTTACAGCGCGGACACCGCCGTCTCGTGCGCCGCGTGTGGACTGTGTTTTCTCGCGTAAACCTCACTTCCTCCTGTGCGCCTCTAAACCAGAACTAACACCAGGACTAAACCAGAACTAACCCAGGACTAAACCAGGACTAAACTAGGACTAAAGCAGGACTGAACCAGGTTTAAACTAGGAGTAAACCACGACTAAACCAGAACTAAAGACCTGATCTAGACCTGGTCTAAACCAGGTCTAAAATCAGGAGTAAACCAGGTCTAAAAATCAGGACTAAACCAGGACTAAACCAGGTCTAAACAACATGACACCTAACAGTAGGTTGACATAATTTAAGGTGATCTCATATAAAAAATAATAAAAATAATTCTCTGACAATAATATTTTTTAATATGGTGAAGGAAAGACTGATCTTGTTTCTGTCTTTTAACAGACAAAACCTCTTATATTAAGATATCGTGGTCTTTGTTTCTCTACAGCAAACAGTTGCTTATTCATGGAGACTTGGGCTCAGACAATTTGAAGACAACAAACAAGAATTTTCAGGATGTGGTTGCTACATTCATGTCGTTTAAAAAAACATGACAATATCAAGTAATCCAAAGTAATCAGATTACGTTACTCACTTTAAGTAATTTAATGGATTATGTTACAAACTACATTTTGGGGTGTGTAATCTGTAATCTGTAGGGGATTACATTTTAAAAGTAACCTTCCCAACACTGCATATAAGGAATATAAATCTGTATTTAAAGGCCCTGTACCAGATTTTCTTCCATTAATTTGAGAAAAATGTGTCTTGCTCCAGTGCAGATATATTGTATCTCTTGAAGTTCTTGAAGTCAAAATATGTCTGCTGCGTGCTGTGTGCACCAATTAGAAACCATTTTATTGTTCAATAATCAGGAAGTGTGTGGTTAGCATGCTAAGTGTTGTCACAATTCTGCATTGGTCTCAGACAGAGAGAGTCTCTGAGCAACTCATAATGATGACTAACTTGGATACTTAGAATTCACAAGGTAAGTGAGGAATAACTTTGGGCCGCTGCAAATAGTTTAAAACGGTACAGCGCCTTCAGGCATTTTTACGATTGAAAACAGTACAATAAAACTTTTAAATTTAAGTATTTAACAAATACAACTGAGCGTTCCATGTTTTGCAACTTAAAATTATTACTAGCTTTAATTTAATTTTGCATGGCTATTTTGGTCTACAATGTTTGTTTTTTTTTCCTGCTCTGAACAGTCACTAAAAAGATCTTCTCCTCAGAATGAAAAGAGTCAACTTTTTTCAGCTTTCTCAGTAAATTGATTTAGTTCAGCCAGGCTTACAAAATCAGGTTTTCTTCTTGTGGGAATTGAATTTTGATATTGATAAGCAGATTAGACAAATGCCAAACATGAAGGACTTCCAACAGTATTTAGTATGAGTGATTGCCGATCTAAAATAAAGACGAATGGACTTGGCATTTAAGGATCTGTGACTTAGATCAACGAGCTATTTTGGGCAAGAAATCAGCCATCCTTTCCCATGTATGTTGTATTTCAAAACTAGTTATATATAGGTAAAACCATGAATGAGAAATCTTGGCCGAATCTCCCAAAGTGCACAAGCATAGCACATAAAATGGATGACTGGGCAGGAGACAGACCTCTGCTCCCTCAGCCCTATTATATAATGAAGCAATTTGTGATGCGGACCAAAAAGCCCTATTCATTACATCCTGGGAGTGAGTCATGAGCTTATCCTGTACTACAGCTACCATTTAATCTTCAATAACCGCTTAGATGCCAAGTTCACTTTCTCCTCGTATGACATTTCCAAGTAAAAGTGAGTGTGGAGTGAGGGTTTTGTGGTTCATATGCAACGTTTTTTTAAAGTCCAGACCGAATCCTTTCAGTTTATCTTTAACATGGAAATAGGGCTGCAAGATTAAAGATGCATTAGGTATCTTTTCGCTTGGGGTCAGTCACCTTTTTGTTTCTATGGAGATGTCATTTCTCTGTTTTGAATGTTTCAAAATTTGACATTAAACACATCTACCTTGAATTTATTAAATTACAGATAGATTGATAGCTCAAAAATCCCTAGAATACAGGCATTCTGACTCTGAGCGTGGTTGCGTCTCCAGAGATCTGACCTGTAATTTGGTCTGGTTTGGTCTCCATGATGATAGAAAGGTTTACAGCCACACTGTGAAACATCCAAGCTGACAATCCAATAACATCTCCATGGAGAAAAGCATTTGACAGACCCTTCACCAGAATACTTACACAGAGCACCTATAAATAATAAACCTTAAATTTGAATGGATGCAATTAGCTAATAGCAAAGGCTGCAGTATTTAAAGTGCCATAATTTCCTCCACAGACAACAAAATATCCTGCCTTATTCTGCATAATAACTGTTAACCCTGTAGTTTAGATCTGTACAAGCATGTTCTGTGATAAAAAATCTGTGGAGAGGAAATCCTACTCACAGTCAGAATACCTGTTTTCAAGGTATTTTTGACCTACAGAACCACCTGTAATTTAATAAATATAAGGTAGAGCTGTTAAATGTCATATTGTGGAACATTCCAGGCAGAGCAATGACATATCCATCCATATAAACAAGCAGATGACGGACCCCTGAAACGTTACAAAGTGCAATAGTGTTAAAACTAAAGGCAATAATAAAAATGATGAGTATACTATACTACTTTGGATTTAAAGCAGATGAAACAAAAAATCATATCTCATCTTATGCAGATCCAGATACACATTTTACAGAGGACTGATCCGTACGTACCATTGTGCAGAGACGTGGAGCGCTGAGGGCCAAGTCCACCATGGCAGGCAGCACCACCTCCAACAGGTGCTGAGCCTCACTGTGCTCCAGATACTGAAACAAAGACATACAGTAAACACATTTGTATAGTAAGAGGATAAGACCAACTGACACTGACAAAAATGAACAAGAGAAGTGTATAAATATGAATACTATTAAATGGCCCATATTAAACTACATTCTAATCTATGTTATAATGTTGTTTCCTCATCACAAACATACGTGTTGTAAGTTGTGTTTTGTTTTATTCACACGTGTCTAACACACAAACCCTGTTCTTGTCTCAAGCGGAAAACACTCTGTTCCGCCTTGTGATGTCATGTGGTAATACAGGAAGTGATCCACTAAACTCCATAAACTCCATACATCTGCACTGAATTAAAAGGTAAAAGTTATAGCTGTTAACTTGAAAACTACCACAGGATGATACTACAAGGTGGAACAGATCATTTTGAGCTTTGGAAATGTAGACAGACCAATAATAAAGGATTACTCAAAGATGTGTGAATGAAACAAAACACAACTCCACTTTGTGTAATATAAGACCTTTAAAGAAAAAAAAAAAAAAAGAAAGAAAAAAAATTAAACAATATTATTTCTTTTGTTGACAAATGATGTTATGTGACGGTAGGTAATGCTCTAAGCTTATTGATTACAAAAACATGCCCAGCCTAAGATAAAAATTCTCTACCAGGATCAATAGGTGAAGGGGTCATACCATAATTTCAAGTTGGCCATAAATAACACAAGTTACTATCAAATTCAATCAACTTCACTCTCACATGATTCAATAAGACAACTCAACAAGCATTTTACACTCACCATAAATATTAGGTTTATTTCAGAAAGGCCCTCCAATACCAGAAGCCTATCACATGCAACTTATAGCCATACTAAGCAAAAGATGTTCATTTTGTCTTCTTATATACTTTAACTTCTTGGGTTCTTTTTAAAGACAATGCAGTAAAGTGTGTTTACCTTGTTGACATGTTTCGGCTGCTAGCTGCAAGCCATCTTCAGAACTGTCACCGGTGTTGGTGGTGACGTGTCGTATATCAGCTGTTGTTACTTCCTGTAGGCGTGGTCAGCCTGATGGACCTGGCAGGTCACTCAGACTGACCACGCCTCCCGTCGCCAACAACAGCTGATATACGACACGTCACCACCAACACCGGTGACAGTTCTGAAGATGGCTTGCAGCTAGCAGCCGAAACATGTCAACAAGGTAAACACACTTTACTGCATTGTCTTTAAAAAGAACCCAAGAAGTTATAGCCATACTGTGGCACATTCCAGGTTAAAGAGGAGGTATTTGACTTCTAAGGGGTATTAACTGCTAGCACATAACATATTTAGATAACCATGTTACCTTTTATTGTTTTTAAAATGCTAAAACAATGTATTACCATATTTTATAAATTATACCATTGTGGGAGAAAGCTTATGAAAAATGATTTTGCATAATATACCGTCTTTAAGAACATGATCTAACAAGAGCAAACATGTTTTTCACAGGCTACGGTGCTATTTGTGCAGTAGATTATCAAAATAATATGGGTAAAAAAGTTTTGTTCAGCCCACTTTCAGGAAGTTACAAGTCAGGTCTGTGGAGAGGCGAATCCACTTTCAGTAAGGACTAGGGAGGCACCGATCCAATACTAATAATGAATGTTGAGGCAGATACTGACATTTAGCTGGCCAAATACCGGTTCGGTCGATATCCTTGTTGAACATATAAATTGATGACTATTTGCTGGTCATAGTTGGCCAATAAGCCTCATAATGTTTGAACTTTTATTAATCCTAAGTTCTGTGGTTACTTGAGAGATAAATTAAAGCTACACAACACTTTTGGAGCATTTTTGTCTTATTTTATATTTGTTTAAAGGAAATTAATGAATTTCATTTTCTGCACTGGTATTAACTGATATTTACAGCTATAGTATCGGAATCAGTTTCGGAAAAAGCTGGACCGGTGCATCTCTAATAAAGAAGCATCTTTTTCTCTGGAATTGCCACCAATAAGGACAAGTAACAAAATATAATTTTGCATTTTAGTCTGTTTATTAGATGAAATACTCTGCGGACAAGACTTTAATTGGAAAAAAAAAAAGTAAAAAAGTAAATGAATAACCGTAAAGTTGCTCAGCAGAATTGCGCTCGTATAAACAACATTCATGAATCTCCCATCTCTCGCCTGGTCCATACTGTCCATACTTCACCCTATAGCTTACCTCAGCATCCATCTGCAATTCCCTCCAAAATAAACATCCAGTTATACTTTCATAGCTGCAGATTTACAGCGCAATTACTTATGAGTGTATTGGCTTCGAATGTCAGTGCTATCAATCAGGCTCCGTATTCTATCAAAGTAAGCAGAGGAGCCTGGTCTGATTAAACGCACTTTTTCCTGCGGACAAAAATGCAAATGACCAATTGTGAAGACAGAGAGAGACAGAGAAAAAGAAAGAGGTAGAGAGAGAGAGAGCGAGAGAGAGTGGGAGAGACACAGAGACAGGCAGAGAGAGAAAGAGAGAGAGGGACAGAGAGAGGGAAAGGGAAAAAAAGAGAGGGGAGAAGGAGAGAGAGACAGACAGAAAGAGAGAGACAGAGAGAGAGAGACAGGGGGACAGAGAGAGAGAAAAGAGAGAGAGACAGACAGAGAGAAAGAGCAGAGAGACAGACAGATAGAGAGAGAAAGACAACAAGAGAAAGAGAGGAGCCAGAGAGAGACAAAGAGAGCAAGACAGAGAGAGCGGGACACAGAGAGCAAGATTGAGAGAGAGACGGGGGGGGGAAGTGAGGGAGAGAACTGAGAGAGAGAGAACAGAGAGAGAGAGAGAGAGAGAGAGAGAGAGAACAGAGAGACAGACAGAGAGAGAGAGAGAGAGAAGAGAGAGGGGGGGGGGGAGAGGACCACTTGGTTTAAAACAAGGAGTCTGTTGGACAGAGAGAGAAAGAGACGGGATGGGAGCGCTTGGTTTAAAAAAGGGAGTTTTTGGTGGACAGAGAGAAAGAGAGGGGAGAGAAGCACTTGGGTTAAAACAGGGAGTTTTTGGTGGACAGAGAGAAAGAGGGGAAGGGAGCGCTTGGTTTAAAACAGGCAGTCTTTGGTGGGAGATCCGTCTATAGGGGGAAGTTATATTGCAGGGAGCGGGACTGACTAAAAGCTGTCAGAAGTAATGAGCTACCAGACACCATAAAGTAGTCCTGGAGGAGTAATGGAGGAGGTTGGGGATGGGGATGGTTGAGGAGAGAAAGATGATCCGCGCTGTTTGAATTGCTTAAGCAGCTGGATAGAGAGAAGCGTGCGGTTTGTATGTTAAATTTATCAGTGTGTGTGTGTAAGCAGGGGCTAATACAAGAACATAACAAACACAGGTCTGCACATAAGAAACTAAAATAGACTCTAATTAGTTTATTAAATATGATTTTGACTGTTAAACTTTTAGTTATACATACTGTACATGCTTTCATTACTATTTTCATGATTCATTTACTAAATGTCCTGGACTGTTACAATCCCAGTTTAATGAGTTAAAATAATGATTAAAGACTGCATATTGTGCCACCTGCTGGGTGCCGCCTGTTGCCTCGGCAGGTGTCGCCTGTCGCCTCGGCAGGTGCAGCTCACTGGCCTGGCTCTGGCTTGTACCTCACACATTCATCAGAGACAGTGACACTCTGACAGTTTCATTTGAGCAGCCACAGCATCACTAAGACAATTTATAGACACGCTCTAATTTGGCTAACTCTTTTTTTTTACCTGCAGCCATTACTCGTCGAAGTGCCTGTCAATCACCCGGCCGAAGCTACACAAATTCTACTGCATATTTAATCAAGCATTGTTGGTCGACCCATGTAAAGGGAAAGAAAACTGTTGAATTTTACAACGTGAAGCTAGGTAGGAATGGTCTGATACAGACACAGATTTATTTTATTAGATTCTGTTTACAAACCAATGTTTAGTTTGTTTTCATGCATGGCAATTTTCATACTTGACAGTTTCTTCTTCCTCATACTGGTCATATTATTTTTCCGTGATGTGTCTGGTCAGTTGATTTAAAATTTATCCTACCGGTGGAAGACAGCATATCATGTGACCATGTGAGGAAGGCAGCTGTGAGTAGTCGAAATTGTCATGTATGAAAACAAACTAACCCTTGGTCTGAAAAACGAATGAAATAATTCCAATCAAATAAATTATCTGAAGACCAAATTTACTTTGTTGGGCTATACCAATAACTGATATTTGTCTTGCTGATGCCGCTAATTAACATCACATGCCTCTCAAACAGGGAAAATATCTCCTCTTCAAAATTCTACATAAAATACATAACAAAATCAAACCTGAGATAAATAAAAGTTTGGTGCTTCGATTATTGATTCTTCAGAAATCTGTGCTGTTTCTTGGTGTTTCACTGTGCTATTTTTTTCCCGTTTTGTAACATAAGCCTCCATGTTTGTTTTTACCCAAACAGAACACTCCAATTGGTTAATCCACCTATCAGTTACGCCTATCTGAAATCAGGGAGACAGTTCCAGATCCAAAAGTCTTTCAATTTGGTCACATGTACACTTAATAAGTTTATAAAGTTTCTTAAAAATAATTTCTGAGATAAAATACAATTTGATGATGAATAGCTACCTATTTAGACACATTGTTTTATCTCAATAATTTGTTTAAACAGACATCTGATGTACTGAGCACAAATACAAAATGTCTTGCAGAGTTTGGGGCAGCTTAGAAACAAATATCAGCACAAAACACTGGAAAATAGAACTTCTATTATATATCGTACCAGTACAATGTAATAACAATATGAGGGGTTATGTGGTCTCTTGCACATGAACAAAACAACAGTGTGGACTGGGTCAGAGTAGAAATCAAACTGCCAATCTCTGGGACATTGGGCAATCCACTGGACTCCCTACACCACTGCCCCATACTGATAGAGGTATCACAATTAAATATTAAGCAAAATTGTACTCCCGTGAGCTTTAACCCATTTTAGAATGTTGTTACCTCATCCAACATATCAGGAGTTGTGTTTTGTTTCATTCACACATGTATAGCTTTCCTGTATGATTAGTCAGTCTACATCTCCAAAACCTAAAATGCTCTGTTACAAATGTAAACTATTCTAGTGAAGGTGTATGGAGTTTAAAAACACTGTGGAACACTTCTGGTATTATCACACAACATCACAAGGTGGAACGGAGTGTTTTCAGTTTGAGAGTAGAACACAGATTAAATATGTGAAACCAAAACACAACTCCAGGTATGTTTTTGATGAGGAGACAACATTATAACATAGATCAGAAAATACCGTAATATTGGCCCTTTAAGTAATAACATTGCAATCAAAACAAAATTAGAGATAATGAACCGAATCACCCTCTAAAATGAGTCACAACAAGTAAGACAATTCATCCCAATAATTGCAGTACTTATCTAAATGGAAAAGTCATATTTGGTCCTTATCCAGTTTAAGAATCTAAAATGTTTCTATAGCAACGTAAAAGGGGGTAGCAGGAATGCAGCTCAGACGCACTAAGTGAATGGGCACTTAGGAGCAGCAGATGGAATTAGCCTCTGTGTGACGGAGGGTGACTTTGTTGCTGGCAGTACTTAGCATCTTTATGGATTTCAAGTGCTCCTTTTAATTAAATTGGATAAAGCCATAAAAACAGGCACAGGGCTATTGATCAAGCCGGCTCCCTTCCCCACACTGAGATATTGTTTTACACCAGAGAGAGGCCAATTTGTCTTATTATTATAAAAAAAAAAACTCTTTAATTCCAAGCAATCTCAGGCAAACTGTAAGTGTGAGAAAAGCAAAATGAAATAAGAGAAAACTGTGCCAAATGTGCAGAATAGTGAAAGGAACAAGGGTTGTCAAAAATATCGAAAATCATAAACTAGTCTATATTCAAACTAGCACAGAAAGTAGAGAATAGCTTCAGAATGATCTTGAGCATTATCAGAACAAGTATAAGACCATAGACTAGTAATATCTATTATTAAGACATTGTAAACTGCCTTCAATTACATTTGTATAGATATGTGCTTGCAATTGCATAATAACCCTGCATTGCAAGTACAAAGTCAACAGTAAACTTATTTCATAATAATCCCCAACTTCACAATTTTGCAATTTTTCTAAATCTCGATCATTAAAAAACATAATTAATTAAATACATTCAATTAATTGCTCTACACTCTGCTTTCCCATTGTAACACACCACTTCAATTTGCAAAGTAATATAGAGACAAACAACGTGGCGTCTCTAAGGGAAAGTGTCCTCAGTAAGGCATTATGTTCGGATAAATATTTTGACACAATGTGATGAATAACGACGCCACTTGGGAGAAATACCTGAGCCAACAGGTAATTACCAGCCTAAACTGTCAGATGATGCGGCGCTGGAGAGAGACAGTCACAGGAAACGCACTCCCCAGGTTCATAGCACCAGCTGCTGTCTCCATGCTCCAGGCTGCGCTAACTGTGAGGTACAAGTGGGTTCCTCTGAGATCCACAGGCAAAACCAGAAAGGAGGAGAAGCGTCGCTGTGAGGGGGAGGGGCTAAGCACTGATAAAGCATTTTAGACATCTATGGAAGTACGGTTTTGATGGGAAAGGCACGATTTGGAAAAGATTATATGATATTATGTATATGCTCTTCTTCGGTCAGTTTTCTGAGACTTTTCAAAATCTCATAAAATAGTAGCATCCTATTTTTTTCACACTTATATTAATATAAATTCACACAATATATTAATAATAAGTAAAACACAATAATAAGAAAATGATCAACAATGTTATTTTACATAGCAAAATTGGTTCAAAAATGTTTTGTTTTGTTTTGTTTTTTTTAAAGATGGATTAGCTATTGGACAGTATGTCACCTGATCATCTCCACGGAGAATGTTCAAAAACATATCTCAACAGAGACAAGAAGATAATGCCACCAAGTCAAGTTACAGGTTAGATCAGTGAGAGGCAAGAATACTCACAATAAGAATGCATATTTTTAAAGGCATTTTTGAGCAATTAAAACATTTGTGAATAAATAAAGGCTGAGCAAAACAGATTACTTAATACTTTGGAACATTCGAGTCAAAGCTAATTTTTTCTTCCTGGTTCAAGAATATAATAATATCATATAAATAATAAAATAAATAATATCATAAAGTATAAAACAATATATAAAATGAACTATAGAACAAGCTGTGTGTAAATTTGTTTGGAATAAAAGAGTCATAAGGTTTAAATGTGACCTAAAATTAATCTACATAGTACATCACTCCCATCTCACTTACCTCAGTACAGAGCAGGTTCAGGGCAGTGAAGTCCCATTTCTTTGCATGGGCCGTGTTGTATCTCAGAATGGCATCCTAGGAGAGTACAAAAAGACATTTAAATAAAAAATATATACTCAAATGATATATACACAAGTCATAACACGGATGTCAATTGAAAAACTTCAACCAGACGGTGAACGTTTTCTAAGTTTTGTGCAAACCCTGCCATCTAGTGTTTATTTATGGAATTAGTTTTGGATGTCAGATTTCAAAACAGTTCAAATATTGGTTACTATTGTTTTTCACTTTTTAAGTTTTCTGTTCAAATTTAGTTTACAGATTATTAGTTGCATAATGAATGGCAATTTTCACAGCAGGTACAGGCCTCAAGTATTTGGCTTTGGCTTTTAATATCTGGGGTATAAACAGCCTGTAAACCAAAACAGGCAAAACAAAAATAACCTATCTATCTAACTAGAAAGGTAGAATACTCCCAGATAAAAATATAATGTTCCACAGTTTAAAATGTCCTATATCACGCAAAATTTACTCTTGTGATAGTTAAGCCCTATTATAATGTTGCTACCTCATCAAAAACATACTTGGAGTTGTGTTTTGTTTTATTCACACATTGAGTAACCCTGGATTATTAGTCCAAAACTCAAAAAGTTTTCAAGTTAACAACTATTACCTTTTACCTTTTGTTCAGTAGAGACTGGAATAGAGGGTCTTATTGTGTTTGTTAGGTTGAGTTTAGTCTAGCTCTTCATTGTAGGATAAAATGAAATAGTCTGAGTAACCTTTGTCCATTCTAGTCAAGACTATGATTCCATTGTAGGGAGTATTATAGCTCTCATGGCATAGGCCAAACAAGGACTGAGCAGGCACTGTCCTTGAAGAAACACCTGCCTATACTACGCTATTTTCTGATGTATGTTATAATGTTGTTTCTTCATCACAACATACCAGCAGTTGTGGGTTTTTTTCATTGTTAAACACACAAACACTGAAAACAAAACACAACTGTGGGTATGTTTTTTTTCATTAGTTAATTTTGTGTAATAAAGGACCTTATAGAGAGGTGTGTATTCTATTATTTTTACTATTGAGCATCAAGCTGCATTTGCAAATGAAAACAATGTGTACTGTATTTACACCCTAATACAAACTTCTGCCTCAACATGTGCAAAGAAAATAAGGGAAAATAAGCAGTACTTTGTTCCACTTACCCTCACATCTAGGCTGCTTTTGAACCCTCCACGCAGGGCAGTGTGAATCAGCTCCCATCGGCTCTGGACTCCTCCTCCATCCTGTAACAACAACACAATACTCACTGTCTAATGTTTCATGCATCAAATGATCAAACTCAGCATAGTATTCAGTATAGTTCCAACCTCAGTCTCCATAGGAAACAGGTTTTTGTCGGAGCAGGGCATCTTCACAGACACGTCGTCCCAGCTGTCCTTGAACTTGGTGGGGAAAGGGACAGGAAGTTCACCTTCTTTAAGCAGATCTGTCTGTACAAAGAGCAAAAGTGCAAAAATGAAATGCAATATAATGGTGGTAGTAAGGGCTTATGAAACATGAAACTAATTCAAAGGGCTTATTTTACGCAAATTTTTTTTAATGTTATAATTAGGGCTGGGCAAAAATATTTTTTTTTTAATCACGATTAATCGCGATTAATCGCATGTTATACACAAAACCAATTAATGAATTAAAAAGTAGCGTATAGTGCTCTTTTATTGAAAATGTAAATGAAAGAGACATACATCTGTTGTGCAAACAGCATTTCTTTCACAGGGGAATCCTCAGAGCCTTCAAGGTATTCAGGGAAGGCTCAAGAAAAAATATTTAATGGACGTTTGTACTACTAATATATTTATTGAATATTTTTTATGCTGTGAGTAATAAACAATACACTAGTAATAATTTCTAGATCAGTGTTATAAACTTGGACTGATATTTCTTAGGAAACAAAGGGTTAATATAATGGAATGGAAATGGACCAATCACATTTTTTCTTCCAATGGTATCTGGGTAAATCAGTTACTCCAACACTGAACTAAAGAAACAAGCTCAGCTCAGCGCGCACAGCTGGTCCAGAGCCGGTGCCCGCGGCTGAACCCGCGGCTGAGACCGCGGCCGGAGTCGGAGCCCGCGGCCGAACTCGCGGCCGGAGCCCGCAGCCGAACTCGCGGCCGGAGCCGCGACGGTAGTCGGAGCCTGCGGCCGAACCCTCGGCCGGGCCCGCGGCTCGTGGAGGCTTGGGCACGTTGCATCTCACGTGGTCAGAAAAAAGTGAAAAAAGTGTAACGAAAAGACGTAAAACTTAAAGAAACGCTCGCGGTGGACTTTTTCAAAATAAAAGCCAGTGAGAAACAGACGTTTACAATAAAATAAATAAATAAATAATAAAAACTGCGTTAACGGCGTTAAAATAATTGTCGGCGTTAATGACTTATTTAGTTAACGCAAAGTTAACGCGTTAACGTGCCCGGCCCTGGTTATAATACATGTTTAACACACAAACCCTGTATTAGGCCGTGTTCTTCTCTCAAGCACACTGTGGTAATACAGAAAGTGCTCCACAGTTTGTTTGTTTTTTAACTCCATGTACATTCACGAGAATAATTGCAATAGCAATAGCAATGCAAACTAAAAATAGCTCATATATTTACATATAAGGCATGCATGCTTACCCTGATGGTGATGGTGTGGTTGGGCACTACCTTCAGGTGAGACAGAGGAGGAGCGCACTGAGGCATTCTGTTCAGCTCATCTATAGGAGTCCCCTGCCATCCTCGGTCCATATTATGCAGAGCAAAGGCTATACTAAACAATCACAAGAGAATCTAATTCAAATCAGGTTTGTTTTGTTTTGTTTCTCTGGTGCAAAAAGTGAAACTGATTTATACAAACCTGTCTGCCTGGCATAGGAATTGAGCTGACCCAGTTGATCCAGTGTGCACTGGTATCTGTGACTGGTCTGTTCCCATTGAAACAAGGCCTTCTCTTTCTTTGGCTAAACTTGGACACTCAGACCCGTCTGAACAAGCACTGCCTGCATGAGGCCCATCTGTGGAGCTGTGCAGGGTTCTACACCCCGGGCTGTCTGGACTCAGCATCTCCACATCATTAGGCGTTCTCACACCTTTTAAAGGACTACTACTAAGACACAAGGTGAGTTTGGGGTTTGGTGAGTGGCCCACAGAGCAGCTGCTGGCACCAGGCTGGGGCACAGGTGAACTGGCACTTGTTGCTCTCTGTCCTTTAGGACAAGTCTGACTTCTGCTGCAAGACTGAGAATGACCACATGCTACATCATTCTGTACGCAAGCTGTTACCAAGTCATTTGGAGAGTCCATGAGTCCCTCTTTTACAACTGTTAGGCTTGTGTTTGGGATTGTATGGTTTACAATGTCTGTTTTGGCGTCAGCGGTGACACTGAAATAGAAACAACTGTTATATTCCGGTCAGTGATAACAGCAGAGCTTACAACAATAGCATGTATCCATAATATATGTTTTGCTTTTGTTTTTTAAATCTATAAATACACGTGCTCACCTTGTGTGAGGATCCATCCTTTCTTCTTTATTGACTAATCAAAGATGTTTTCTATGGGTTTCTACAGGTTTCTACATAAAGAGAAATGCATCTAGTTAACGTAGACGTTGTAAAAAACAAATATGTACGTCACAGTAAAAGAATGGAAAAGGCTATATTTTATGCTAACGCAGTAACATAGGGTCTCTTTATCATTATGTCACTCAGAAATTCTTGTAAACAATAAGCTAGCTACTGTAAATAGCTTTGAACATTGCAATTCTGCAATTTACTTTACGCTGTTCGCCATGTCAAATGAATAAACTGGCCGTATAAAAGGTTTCACAATCTGTGGTCCAGGACAGGAGGTCCAGGACAGGAGGTTTCAAGAACAGTCATCTGTAGCTAGCATATTTGGATGTAAAGGTTAGCGTTGGGTAGCTAGCTTATCCACAAAACATCTACACTCAGCCCGCAGGGAGAAAGATGTGGACTTACAAGCATACCGCTCACTGTGAGACTTCTTGGGGAGTATTTGACATGTTTTATTATAATCCGTTATTTCTACAGACAGGATAACGCCGCATTTTCCACCGTTCTGTTATTGCTTTACTTCCATCTGGTTTGCAGCTGCAGTACAGTACGGGGAATCCCCTAGCCAATCAGATCAGCGCTTTACTGAGAAGAGGCGGGACCAAGTGTTCGTATCCAGGCAACGCAGCCGTAAAGTCGTTTATAGTCGTGTCCCATTTAAAGAGACAGTAAAGAGTAAAATGACAGTGCTAATTGTATAAATATTAAATAGTAACATATGTTAAATAAAACATAGCTTTTTGATAATAAATATATACCAAATACATTGTTTACATAATTTATTGTATTCATTATTAAAACAACAACATACATAGAAAAATAATGAAAGTGCTAATGTTACATTGACAAGCTAAATACTGATTTGGTAAAGTATAAAGTTGTTAAAAGCATCCAGTGGTAAAGACTATAGTTGCTGGCAGATTTCTGAAGTCATATTACATATATTTTTGGGTTTGTTTTTTTTAAGAGAAAGGTTTTACAATCTTCATGGAGATGTAATTCTGTGAACATAAAGAGATAGGTTAGAATTACGTTTAAGAAAAATAATTATTTAGGCCATTTAATATAATAGTTATTTACAGGTAGGGAGTAGAACAGGATCCCTAGGAACAGGATCACCAGCAGAAGGATAACTCCTATGATGAAAACCCATTTGAAACGCCGCCACACTATAAACCTCATGGTCTTGCAAGGGCTGGTAAACCAGAAGAAGGATGTGTCTGGACGACTGCAAAATGAAATAGTGTCATACATAAAGGTCAATAACAATATCATGTTACTCTGACATTTGAATCAGTCTGTTAGTACTGGTAGTAGCAGCAGCTGCAGAGTAGTAGTATAATAGTACTAGTAGTAATAGTAGCAACAGCAGAAGTGACTGTAGTCATATCGTAGTACTAATAGTAGCAGTGATAGTAGGTTGAAGTAAGACCAGTCATAGTATTATCAGGGGTAGCAGTAGTAATACTAGACTGAGTAGTAGTAATAGTAGTAGTGGTAGTAGTAGTAGTAGTAGTAGTAGTAGTAGTAGTAGTAGTAGTAGTAGTAGTAGTAGTAGTAGTAGTACCAGTAGCAGTTAAAATGGTAGCACCAGTTCTCGTAATAGTAGCTGTAATAGTTGAAATAACATTGAATGGCTCTTACTTGGGTGACTCTAGTCTGGGATTCATGTTGGGCTCATCTCTACCTTTCCCAGCTGGTCTTTCCATCATTTCCTTCTCTTCCACTATCTCCAAAGTCATCTCTACTTTACCCTGAAGAAATACAATCTTTTTATTATGAACTGTACATTTACTACAGCATTGTATTGTTATAAACATACTCCAAGAGAAAGTTTTCCATCCTGCTCGATGGTACAGGGCCACCAGCCACGCACAGACTTTTGGGAGAATAGAGAGTTTGGGGTGGAAACAGAAGTAGCCTTTCCTCCAGGCAACATGTGAAGACTGCATTTTTCTGGAGTTTTGGATGGTGGGATTAGATTTAGAAGATCCAACTCAATGGAACCTATGGAAAATATAGGAAAAGTTAAAAATAAAAGTATTAAAGAAAATATATGGCATTCAAAGATTTAATTAAAAGGCGAGTCACTGAAGGTGAATTGGAAATAATCTAGAAAAATATAATTACTCTGTTACATTTACTCATTTACCTTTATTTGAGTACATTTTTAAAGAAATAATACTTTTCAGGGTACGTTTCTAGCAGCATTACTCATACTTGAGTAATATTTTATTGAAGCAACAGTACTAAGTTTACAAGTGACAAAAGCATTATGTTGATATGAAATGATTTGAATATTTGTGTTTCTTACACTGCTCAGATATAATTTAGTTTTTCTCATCTTTATGTATATCCTTTGAAAATACCAGATTTTTTTTGCATTAACAGTCTTTAAGTGACTCTAACTTGAGTAGTAGTTTTTGATCCACTACATCTACTTGAGTAATATTATTTTGAAGTAACATTACAATTACTTGAGTACATTTTTTGGCTACTCTACCCACCATATGAATATGAAACTTATTCTGTTGTACATATACATAAATACGTAAATACACAAATATAGAAAAATATATAACATTTTCTGATAGCTGTTATAAGGGAAGAGAGCAAATTGAACAAAACAAAAATAAAAATAAAAAAAATTAAATTTACTTTAGTTGAGAGTGAATGTAGACCACAAGTTAAAATAACGAATCATACAGTATCATTACCCAAGTAGTCATCCAGAGAGAATTTGTCATTGTCCCAAATTTGAACAGTGAGTTTAGGTGGGATTCTGAATTCCGTTTTGTCAAGATTCCAAAAGTGCTCCTACAAAATAAAACACAATACAACTTTTAGGATCAAACTGATTTACACACAGTTGTCAGCATGGCAACGCTTACTTTTCTTGACACCACACATAGCTGTTCTGCGGGGAGATAATCGAACCCAAAGACGAATCTCCAGTTAAAGTTGCCATCACCGTCCAAGGACCTATAGTGGACATCTGTCTTCTGCTTGTCGTCCTCCATCCCTGGCATCCAACTATACCAGAACAGCATTAAGTTCACAGGTACACTATATAACGTTTTGGTGGGGGGTCTGTCACCTGCTTGTTTCTATGGATATGTCATTGCTCTGCCTGGAATGTTCTACAGGATGACATTAAACAGCTCTACCCTTTACACTTACACTCACCATTTAGTTAAAAATCAAACAGCTAAACAGGGCCATGAACACTCATATTGATCACAGGCTCCTGAAAATCTGTTGTTTAAATCCATTTAGTGTTATTTCTTGAGTTTTCAGACAATATTAAAACTTTTTGACAGTGTTTGAAAGTGTGTGCACTTGGTCTAAAGGGTAACAGCTGAACATTGATTCCACCATAAAGAAACATGTAGAACACCCTCAGCATGATCAGTTGTGTCTAGAATTTGAGGAAAAGATCAGCACTTTATATAACTCTTTGGGAGATTTTTTTTAAAAGAATATCCAAACATATGATCCACAAATGTTGAACCTTATCATTATTTGTTAGTGATCAGCTCCACGAACCATATTATAATGGCACAGTTTTCTGAAGCTAAAATGTATTTCGCTGTTGTATATTTGAACTTTGTGCTAGTTTTTGTTTTATGTGGACAGTAGTTACAGAGATGTTAACCATAAACCAGGTCAACAAATCTGCAATCTGACAAAAAACGTAAATTCCACCACAAAAATCTGACCTGCCCTCAACAGCTTACAGAGTACAGCTGTTGAGGGCATCTGTACTTCCCCTGCAAAGTATTAACATAAAACTATAAAAAACAAAGTATTAACATAAAACTATAGTGTTAATAAGATATGTAAATGAGTATTACCCTTTAACATAGATGTCGCTCATGTTTTCTCCTGTGATGCTAGTTTCATCCAGAATGACCTCAGTGGTGTTCCAAATCACAGCGCGCAAATAATATCTGTTTTCAGATTTAGAAGTTGTTAGGTTAATTGTTTCACCGAGTGAGTTATGTTTGAATAAATATATCATGAGTGTGTATTACTTTTTGGCTTTGCGTGGCGTGATGTCAAAAGGAGGCCCTGGCAAACCAAGACTTTTAGGAAATATGTCCACCCACATCTGTATTTTACCCTGTAAATAAAATATATATATATATATTAGACTTTTATTAAATTTAATTCAGGGTTTTTTGTGTATACTTATGTTTTTGTACCTGTGAGAGGTTGGGTTGGTGAGAGCTGTGCAGGTTCCTAGTTTCCACATGCTCTGGCACTAAGCCCTGTTGTCTGAGCACATGAAGGGCAAGTCTTTCTCTTGGTGGCCCCAGATGGGAGTGGATAACAGTGTTGGCCTCTGTAAAAGAAAATGACAAAATAGAACTGACTGCAATAGGCCATGTGTACAGAGAAATTAATTAAAATGCCTATGACAGGTTACATAATCATTCTACACATATTTTGTCTCAACTATAACTATAGTTCATGGACTTTGGATGGATTTTGCTTTTATAAACTACAAAACTCACCACAAATGACAGGAAATCACAATAATGAGGTAAATAACACTATATATAAAATGTATAAAGTATTCATATATTTTATTCTTATTGACATGAAGTAGTTTTTTATTCCTAAAATGCTTGACACTGATTTTAATGCCCCAAAGTATTCTGTATAAATAAGCAGAAATACATGTAATATAACATAAATAATCATGGTATCGAAGTGAAACAGCTCACCAAACTCTTGCAGGGTATAGTGTGCTCCAGCAAAGGTCATTGATGTCCCATCTGCGTCTACAGTGGGAGCAGTCACCCCTCTTATCTTTGCCACATTCTGGAGAATCTGAGACGGCTTCAGCTGGTCTCTCCATTGATTGACTCCCGAGCTGAAATTGAAATTGGATAAGGTAGAAAATGTGTTACCATTTGAATCCCAAATCAATGAACTTTGATTAGAAGAAGGAGTATTACAAAATTAGCAAAAATCATCCCTCTAATGGAATAGTGCACATCGCATCAGGTTTGTGAAGTTTGAGTGTATTGTTTTGAATCATGTTTTTATATTTATGGAAAATTGTCATGTTGGAGCATGGGTGACGTAGGCTTATAAACTGAAAATTTGACAGAATCTTACTGCTAACTATAAAGAGGGTTTGAAATGTGCATGGATGTCATCTAAAACTCTTAAGGCATGTTTATGATGTTAAAATATGGGAGAACGCTTCAAAACGTTGATTTTGTATAATACTCACTCTTTAAGAACATTTGACATAAATAGGCTCAGGTCTTGATATACTCACATACAGTAGGTTTCAGGCAGACCACAGGAAGGCCGAAACCGTGACAGAAGCCGGTTTTCTAAATCTATAACAGTTTCACCGACTTTTTCATCTCTGCTCAGTAAGTCAAAGTCATAAACAGCAATCTTCAGGTCCTTATCTTGTGGCAGAAAGCAGGACATCTCGATCATCCTAATTGAAAAGTTTATTTTTAGAGTTATTCAAAATAGCATAGTATAGTGTTTTTGTAGCATTTTAAGTGAATATATGAACTACAGCTCACCTC